GTTGCGGGTCATCTTTCCTGCTTCTGCGGCGATGCACCATATCCAGGTCTTCTGCACTAAGCCTGTCAGGCTGGCTCCTATACTGGTCACCAGGGCGGCGGGCGTTTCACCAGCTCGTTCCGGTAATCCGGTGATCTGGATAACAGGTCCTGCTCTGCATTATTCAGGTGAACTTCTAGTTCGCCCACTCGGGATTTAAGGGTTTTATTTTCCAGAATAATTTCTTCGAATTTACTGGCTTGACTTTCGAGGTGTTTTTCAATTTTTGCTAATCTTTCATTTACCTCAAAACTGAGCTCCCCATATTTATCGAGGGCTGTTTTAATGTTTTTTACGTCTTCGTTCACGCTTGAATCTAGACGATTTAATGGCGCCAGTATTTCTGAGGCAGACGGCTTAGTGTTGGGTTTTTTGGCCTGGTCGGAATTAGGGCATACCCATGTTTTTTTGTGTGTTTTTAGTGCTTCGATGTCTTTATCAGATAAGTTGAAACACCTACTATGGTAAATAATTTTACATTTTGCACAGTTAATATTGTTTTTGTCCTCGCGTGCAATAGTATTATTGCATATATTACACTGCACCATATTTTATGAGAAGTAAATAAATTAATATATAAATAAATACCGATAGACAGTTGTTGATGTGATGAAAGCAGTGAACAGCGTGTCTAATGCCTTAAGGATTAGTAGAGTAGAAGGTAACAGTCTCGTACTTCTAGGAAATCAGTTAGAGTTATGCACTTTTTTACGTGAATGTACGTCACTTGAATCAGTGAACACTAATAATGTTCTAAAATAATAGAAAAAAAAAATGAACTCAAGATGAACTGTAGTGAAGATAAAAATAAAGAAAAACTGTGTAGGTATAAGAGAATTATAGCAATGTTCATAGGTAGCTGTCTCTGGCCAGACTCATTGTTCGTGTAATTACATTTAATAGGGCTTAAAAAAATCACATAAACACCATTTCATTCATGTAGGTAGTATCTTTATTTTTTTTTTAGAATAGTTATGGTTATATATATGAAAAAAAAAACATTTCGGGCTCAAGCCCCCAAAATGAAATCCTGGATCCGCTAGTGGTCTATTTAATTAGGTACTGAGAACTTCTGCCATGCTTTTTTATTACCTCCAAGAGTATTTTGGGAACACTTCTTACTAAATTAATTAAAGTCTTCTCAGGTCTGTTTCCCCAAGCTTGTGTGCAGGAGTGCCCAAATGGGGGTTTCATGGCTCAAGTTGCGCCATCAAAATTTTTGAGGGAGGCAAATTTCGACGGGGCTATGAATTTTTTGATTGAAAAGTTTCAAAACAGAGAACTAGGAGGAAACATAGGAGAGACCACAGCAAGTTTAATTGTTTATGATCTAGGATTTGTTGAATCCTACTTTCGCTTGCACTGTTTTGCATTGTTGTTGGTGTTATATTATCTCTCTTTTCGGTCTTCAAGGATCACAAAAAATATATAATAATAAAATTTAAAAAAGTCGCTCCCCAAAATTAGATCCTGACCCATTATTCCATTAAACTAATACTGAAAATTATTTTTTAACATAGTACAAGTTTTACATTTTCTTCTTATTATGTTCAGAATGAAGTTCGACAAGCGTCTGGTAGGAGGAGACACCTACCTCCATATGGCTGCAGCTGGAGGCTACAACGATGCATTGGAGGCCCTACTGGTAAGTGGAATGGAAGTAAATAAAAAGAACCATCTCGGCGAAACGGCATTAATGCAAGCCGTTAGAGCGCGCAATGTCCGAGGTATGGAGTTGCTACTAGAGAAAGGAGCGGACTTCAGTCCTCTACAGGGTATTAGGTTTAACAATGGCGACTCCATAGTCCATTTCATAGCTCGGTCAGGAAATGCAAACCTCCTCAAACTACTGAAAGATCGTAAGATATCAGCAAATATAAGAATTAGTAAGGGCCTCACGCCATTGCATGTCGCTATTAAACCTTCAGTTGTGAGAATGCTTCTCAGGATGGGTGTGGAGGTGAACTCCCAGGATTATAGAGGCAGAACTCCTTTGATGATGGCCGCGAGGAATAGCTATGCGGATATCGTAAAAGTGTTATTGCTGAACAGAGCCTATCCCAATGCAAGAGACAATGGAGGTCGGACCGCACTTCACTACGCCGCTGAAGGGGGATGCACAAGGTCGGTGACCACTCTGCTGGACGCTAGAGTCAGAATAGATGACACGGATAATAAAGGTGACACTCCAGCTTTCGTTGCAGCTGTGAATAATAAACCAGCAGTCCTGCATCTCCTATTGAAGAATGGAGCTGACTTGGCTCTAAGAGACCGTAATGGCGATGGAATATTACATCGAGAGGCCCGTAGTGGACATGCAGAGGTCGTCAAAGTGTTGCTTGATGCCGGGATGCCGGCAGATATGAAAGGTGAGTTCCTGCAAACTGCTTTGCATTATGCAGCTAGTGAAGGAAACACTGCGGTGGTTTCAGCATTGCTTGATGCAGGACTAGCTGTAGATGTGAGAAATGAGTTTCAGAAAACTGCCTTACATTATGCAGCTGTCAGAGGTCACTCTGCAGTAGTGACTGCCCTGCTTGATGCAGGAGCAAAAATTGATATGAAATGTAATGATGAATGGACTGCTTTACATTATGCAGTTCTGGGAGGAGACATCGCGGTGACGACAGCGCTTCTGGAACGGGGTGCAGACCTAACAGCTATGACAAATTTTGGTGACACACCACTAATAGTAGCATCTAGAGCTGGGAAAGTGGCAATGGTGAAAGCGCTAATTGATGCGGGGGCAGAGGTAAATACGAAAGGTCGGAAACAGGACACTGCCTTACATTGTGCAGCAAGCGAAGGACAAAAGCCAGTGGTAACAACACTACTTGATGCGGGGGCGGTAGTAGATATAAAAGATGGTTGTCAGAGGACTGCATTACATCGTGCAGCACTGGCAGGACACATTGCAGTAGTAACAGAATTGTTGGATCGCGGGGCAGATATAGAAGGAAATGTTGAAACATCGCTAATGGAAGCATCAGAGCACGGCCATTTGGAAGTTGTGCAGCTTCTCATTGACCGTGGTGCTAATGTTAATGCTAGGTGTGAGGGTGCATGTTCTACCGCATTACATACAGCAGCAGTAGGGGGTCACAGTGCAGTGGTAGAAGCGTTGCTTCATGCCGGGGCGGAGGTGGATGTGAAAGATTATTATCAAGACACTGCCTTACAATTGGCAGTATTTGAAGGACATATTGAAGTGGTAGCAATGCTCCTTGACCACGGGGCAAACCCAGCAACTAAGGATTCAATGGGGTTCACGCCACTAATGAGAGCGTATAATCGAGGAAACATGGCTGTGGTACAGCACCTTCTAGAACGCGGCGCCGAAATTAACGCTAGAACTGATCAAGGATGGACAGCCTTACACTAGTGGGCGGGGTAGCCGAATGGGCTAACACATGTGCACAGCACCACCGTTGCTCGGCAACCTGATACTTCAATCAAATGATATGAAAATAGTCGGAGGTTCGCGTCCCGGTGCCCAGGGAGTCTTTTAAATCCCAGCCCACACTCCCTGGCCCCGGAAAGCCCTGTATAGCCTTAACGGCGAGGAAAGGGAGTACCAAAAAAAAAAAAAGTTGCTTAGGCATGGAAAATTATATATTAATATAGATAAAATCTGTTTTTACTAAACAACTATTTTGACTATGTTATTATTCATATTTAACTTTATAAATGAATAAATTGCAATTATATATACTATGATTATTATATTCCTTCATAATACTGTTTATATATTTCTTTTTAAACAGTTCAGGGTAAGAAAAATTATGGTAATTTTTAGAAAATTATTTTTATTTTCATTTATTCAGTTTCAATCAAGTCATAATATTTTTGTATTCAACTTTAATTTTATTAGTAATAGGAATATTGAATCATTCAAAAAGTTTATTATTCTTTTTTAATGTTTATAGAATGTTGTCCAATAATTTCTTAAAATATATGCACTTTTATACTTGTTTTATTTAACTTATTTCCTACCTGAACTCATTTTCTTTTTTGATCCATTATTTTAAAAAGAAAAAGTTTTAAAATACATGACGAACTAACAAGCAAAGCTTTGGTCTAACTTTACTAAAAAAAAAACAATAACATGTTTTTGTCCACTATTTAGCGTTATGCTAATCTTATTCTTCTTATTATTATTCTTTGTCCCAGGATAATAAAGAAATTTTTTATTTCATTACATTGAACATATAATTGGTAGTATAAATTTTCAAGGAGCTTGGGTACCAGAATCTATTACTGGCTAGTAGTAACGCTGGATAAAACTATGAAGAGCAAAAAAATAAAAAATAAAATAATAATAATACCTTTTTCTTAATTAACATATTATTTTTGTATTTATAGAATGCTGGAATCTTTTTTACTCAAGTATTGCCAGTCACTTTTTTGTAAAATAATAGACATTATCTAGAAATCATGTCATAAAATAATGAAAATTAATATTAAACAATAAACACAAAATAAGTTAACGTTGAGAATAACAAATATCCTAAATATTTAGCAATATTAATCTTCAGGAGGATGTGATAAATAGTCAGGACACGATCATTTAAAGATTTTTATTATACATTTGACAAATCTATAACAGTTTTAAATAAGTGACAAAAGTAACTGACGACACTAATAAAAAAGACCCGAATGCTTTTGTATTAGTAAATTTGAATATTTTTTCTGTTGTAATATTGTTGTGACCTTTCCACTATTTTAAAAACTTTTTTGTTAGGAAATTTGAGTATTGTATATTAATATTAATATATTAATATTATTGTAGCATTTTCAGTTTTTATAAATAAAAACTTCTGTATTGTTAATAATGAATAATTAACTTTCCAATAAACATAACGTTTATTCTCAAAAGAATTATAATTTCAGTGTTTTTCTTTATAGTCTTTTAAGAATAATGTAAAAAAGATAACAGTATCTTATAAAACAATTTCTTTTCTTATTATTTAAAATTACATAGTACAAATTGTAATTATGAAACAAATAACATGATTTTTCTCACATCATAATTAATAAGTAAAGTTTAACAAAAAATTACATTTATTAACATTAAAAAAACAGAAACAAATATATAATAAAAAATTTTAGATATTAACATTATATAAATAAAACCTATGTGAAATTAATATACATCACTGATTGAACCTGTATGGGAAGCATTTGAGTGGTCGCTTTCATTACCTGAAGTTTCGGCACCAGTATTCTCAACAGGAGCTGTAGGTGTGATTTCCTCGGAATCCCCGAGCTCTGTAGTATCCTAAAAACATTATATTGTATCAATAAGTGGTTATACTTAATATAATACAATTTATTAGTTGAATACAATACTTGAGCCACTCACATCAGTTGAGATAATTTCACCATGAATGTCTTTGTTCCGCATGCTTCCCATGAAGAAGGCTCCTGCGCATTTGTTTTGAAGAACCATGTTTTTCACCGAAAGGAGAATGTTTTCTAAAGTCCCTCTGATTCCAGGCAATTGTTGGATCAAAGAACTGTCTTTGTTTAACTAAAAAATTACATCAACAATTATATTTTCTTTTAGAATATTTAATAGTTGACCGTTGCATTATAAAGGAAGGAGATGGTCCGGGGTGGCGGTCATAAATAGTGACAAAACTATTTTATTAAAAGCCAACATTTTGACCCGACTTTGCAGGTCTTCTTCAGGGGTAGAACGGCCAAGATAGAAATAGAAATAGAAAATAAACTTTGTTCTGGGACGATGTCCCCTTAGAATAACAATAATGTACTGTTACAAAAGAAAAAAAAATACACATCTGGCCAAAAACTAACTCAATAAAGATTCAAACAATATATGCAACAACTTAAATAATAGTATGTAAATTACTAAAAAATAAAATAAAATCTTCTCAACTATATTTATAATTTTACTGGAAAAAATAACAAAAAAAAAAGAAGAAGAAAAAAAAAAGAATAACATGTATAGAAATAAAAGCAATAGAAAGATATATGTATATATGTATATATATATATATATATATATATATATATATATATATATATATATATATATATATACACAAATTGAGGAATGTAAGAAATGAAATAGTCACAATCTTGTAGATAGAAAAAAGAAAAATGGATAAAAACAACAAACAATCTCTTACTCTTTATGCACCACCTCACAGTGCTATGCCAAAAGTGACTCTGAATATTTCCAGTTCACAAATAATAAATAAAAACTAAAATAAAGTAGTGGTGTATGAAAAAAAATAAAAAATAAAAAAAAAGAATTATCCTTTTTGCATGATACATGATTAAACAGCCTCTGATTGGGTTGCGAAGAGGAATTGGAATAGGAGAGTTTTGAATATAAATACAAAGATACAAAAAGATATAGAGAATTGTGGAAGTTACATAATATTTCGACAAAAAATTATAAACAATGTGAATAAACTTATTAAAATTATAAATTATAAACAGCTAAGTAACAAGATCCTAAACTGAATTAAATAGATGGTAACAATTGTTGTAGTATAATATATGCAATTGTGAATATACTCCTACAGATCTACAGGAGAGATTGGAAGAAAAGGAAAAATGACATAATATGAAATAATGGACATTAAGAGATGTGGAGAAAAAAAAAGAAAAACAAGAATGACCGCCACCCCGGACCATCCCCTTCCGTAATAATACAACGGTCAACTGTTAAGCATTAAAAAAAAAAATTTAGTTTCATACCTTACTATAATTACAAATCGATTGAATATATCTTGTAACGACTTGTAGCTTCTTTATTATTTGAGATACTAAAGTTGATTCTATCTTGAACATAGTTGAACAAATGTTCATTCCATGAGTCAAGAAATATCTAAGTATCGGTAAACTGCCCTGGAATGTAAAAACATTACATTTAGGTAAATATTGTCAGACTATAAAGTGAAACTGTAAGTATTTACGTAGATAGGAAACCTTCAAGAACTGCCTAAGATTTATTCTGGAATCTTGAATTTTTATTATTGCGATGAGTTCTTGAAAACAACTGGTGACCGAATCCCAAACTTCTAATTGTTCTTTGTAATCTTTTCCTTCTAGAGCTTTCTTGGCTCCTGCCAACAGCCCTTTGCAAATCGAACGAATAAGGACATTGAGGTTATTTCTGAAACAAAAAAAAATCAAATCAAATCAAACCATCTTCATCATCATAAATCATAATTTCGAAAAATCAAATATCTCATTACTTATTAAAATGTGGAAAAGTAGTAAAAGAGTTATCATTTCCTAAAGATTCGCATTCCAACGAGAGCCAATTAAGTGTCTTTGACACATTTTTTAAACAATTATTTCCATCATTAAGAAAAACATCTAGTAGCACACACAGTTGTTGATTAACAGATGTTCCCTTTGCTTCGGCACCTTTCGAATCATACCACTTTCTTCTTAAAAAGTCTTCACACAAATCTCCTAGAAATAAAATTTAAAAAACAATATTAATTCAAAGTGTCACTAGATTAGAGAATAATTCTCTTTTGCTGATTCAGGACTGAAAATAAGTGAATCTGTCCAAAAAAAGAAGACGGAGCTAACTATTCTTCAACTCTTGATTGTAAATTATCCGCCATTTTAAGAGAGGATTTTTTACTTAATTATAACTAGATAATAATTATTAAAAAATATATAATTTTTTTATTATGATCTAATAATACCAATCTCCAATACACCTAAGATTCCATGATTGTATTCCTCTAAAAACCAGACAGCTCCTTATATTCCCTCCCTTACTTTGACTACGGCTGTTTGGTGTATAGAGGAATATCTGGCAGGCTAAAAATGAGATTGAAGAAACTCATGAACTGTTTTATAAGATACATCTTAGGGATCTCCAGGCGTTCACATGTTTCATTCTGGTACACCGAGTTGAAATGGCTTTACCCTACTTCCCGAAGACAATTCCTCCTTGGTGTTTTCCTTTTTCAAGTTCTCAGAACAAAAAACCCTCCCTACTTCCTGGAACTCCTTACTCTAAGCTCTCTTATCCACTCTCCTAATACCAGGTCTCAACCTATAGATTTATATATCTTCTCCCATAAAATTACTTCCTTCAGCAAATCCTTCGTCATTGGTGCTACCACCTTTTGGAACTCTCTTCTTACTTCCATACCTCAATCCTCGTCCACAAACTCCTTTAAACAACTCCTGTTCCACCACCTACTCCACATCCAAACTTCTGCTAATATGGAAAATCACTTGTAATGCACAACTGCAATAACAATAAATAGTATATTAGCTTATATTTATTATAATTCTAAGCCAGACTAATACCCATAAATTTGTAACACTTTTATTATTCTTAGGGGAATGTAGTCCCAGAATAAAATTATTTTTTCATTTCCAATATGATAATTGACTATGAATAACAATAATTCTGCACTGGAAGCACGCAAACATGCCGGAGCTGGAGTTTCAACTTGCCGCCCCGGTTGGAAAGGTAGGCACAAACTTTGAAGGGGAAGTGAAGGCCATTCTCTTAGGCCTTGAGAGGTTAATTGAACGGAAAGACAAGAAAGTTGCTTTCTTTGTTGACTCACAGGCAGCCATTTTGTCTCTCCAAAATTGATATAATATAAATCCAAATGTTCCTAAATGCCATCAATATTTGAACCGATTAAAGGAAAATGGGACAGAAGTCGCTTTCCAGTGGATACCAGGCCATTGCGGGCTCCACAGAAATGATGAAGCTGACAAACTGGCCAGAATAGGTTCTGGAATGATCCAACCCGATATTCCTCTGGCCATGGATTCAACAAAAAGAATCATAAAACAGACCCTCCAAAGTTCACTGAAAGAGAAATATGTACAAACAATTGAAGGGAAACGATGGAGTGGATTGCTGGAAGAAAGTGGCAGGATTCCTAGAGACCTCCCTAGAGGGCAAGCCGTGACATGCTGTAGAATGCTCACAGGCCATGATTTCCTTCAGAAGTACCTCCACCGCATCGGTGTAAAAGATAGCCCGACATGCCCTCTGTGTTCCTTAGACATGATGACAGGAGAACATCTGGATACATGCCCTGCATTACATGACATAGGATGTTCCTTTAGTGAAATGGACGGCCCTTATGCTAGGAGAGCAAAACTGTATTGGACTGCAAGAGCACGCATGGCTAATGAAGCAGGCGTTAATTAGGAGTAAGAAAAAAAAAAAAAAAAAAAAGAATGAAAAAAAAAATTAGAACACTGTCAATTTTTGCCAATGAGGAGTCCACAACCTTTTTTCATCTACTAAGCAGTGGGCACCAATTTATGTTTTTTTTTTTGTTATAGTTAGTAAAAATTAAAAATGATTTTAACATATAAAAAATATTGCTTATATTCTCATGTAAAAGGAATAACTGTTTAATTATATATTTTAAAATGTATATACATAAGATACAAAATATATCTCCCACATGGAGACGGTAACGTCTCCACTCTGAGATTCATAGGGAGGTGAGCGACCCCTAGGTTTTAAACCATAGCTCCTGGTCCTTCAGATTGGAGGTTGGGAGTTGGGTAAAGGGCTGATAATCCCCTATCCCATAAAAACCTGGGTGGAAGATTGAAGCAAAAAATTGCCAACCATCTTGCAGGAAATATCCAGATGAAGAGGGAGTGAAATGTGATCGTGTCCAGTTAGTAAACCATTTCCTGGATATCTCGAAGAAGAGAGAACTTAACGACCACTACTGTCACCTATAACAGCCCCTAGCTGCTGAAGAAGACTTAAACAGTCAAAGTGAACAGACACAGGAAAATATATATATATATAAGCCAGTGTATGTCTGCGGCCCACCAATGAAGCACTTTGTACCTTACCTTATCTTATAAATGTATTAATGTTAGTTGGAAAAGAAGTTTGATATTATTTATATATTTTTTGTTGTTCATAGCGGTAAGCAGCCTATTTTAATTTTTTGTTAAATATCAATAACAAATTTTAAATTAATTGTTACATAATAATTTTTAGTTGGTATTATGTTCTGTTATAAGAAGAAAATATAATTGTTGCTGTTGGTATCTTCGAAAAAAATTTGAACTACTTGGACCTAATCCTAAACCATGTCACAATATATAAAATGTCATGATAAGAAATGTAAATATTAAATTTAATGTGATCTTTGACATAACATTTCTAAAGCATATGCTTTGTAAATTAAAGAATAAGATGATTATCTTGTACTGGATGATAATAACCATAACTCATATTTTGGGTGATAAATATTCAGGACATTATAAATTTTTTTTAGTTATTTGTGCCGATGTTTCAACCCAAACATGTGGGTCAACATCAGGACTGAAAATTTTAAAAAACAATCAGAAATATAATATTATACGACCGATAATGGTAAATAATAAACTATAGTGATTGATGGTACATGAATCTCTACTAATATTACAATACACAATATTAAAAATGAAATATGTAAAAAGTTATACAAACTAAAAATAATGTATATAATCCATTAATAAAAATGTTTGTAATATTTTCTCTTACGAACCATGGTTCGAACACTGAATGTTTTCAACCTTCTAGCTGAACACGTACTAACACATTTGATAGGTAAGTGAAAGGGTCGGCACAAATAAATAATAAATTTTTATAATGAATGCATCCTGAACATTTATCACCCACGATATGTAGAATAGTCGACTAGCTTCCTTCAATAACTTATATTTTGAGATTCCATTTAGAAAAATTATTTGAAAACAATAAGATAAGAAACAAGCATATAACTAGTCATTAAATATGTTAAATAAAATGTTACCAACATTATAAGAATAGTTCAAATGATAAACATTGACAGAATAATACTGTTAAATTGATATGATATCAATAAAAGACTGTTTCCAAAGAAATACAATCATATTTCAAAATTAATTAACAGATTCATTGAATAGCAACAGGGCATGAACGTAGTTACCGGCTGCCATATTGATATCTGGTACAGGTAATGTCAAGTGGTCACAAGTGACGTCCTGCGAGCACAGGACTCGGAACCTCTTTACAGCTGAGTTATTTTTACCATAGTTTGGGAAGCTTAGCATTCTTTTAGGAGGTTAAAAAAAAATGTTTCAAGTCAGAATTTAAAATCACCATTGGTGTTTACAATTTTTAGGCATTAATGAACAAATTTGGTTCCATGACTGTCTTTCTATAGACAAATCCATGAGACATCATATCACCTACTCGCATTAATTCTATGTATATATATATTTTTTTTTTTTATTAAGATTTTCAACCAATAGTGGGTTTCCTTAACCTAAACCTTGGATGGCTTCTTTCTATAATATCTTATCTAAGGTCTATTCTTCCCGTAGATCATGACCCATCATGGATTTCTCCACTTCGTTATTCCAGGTCTTCCTCGTCTTCTTCTTTCCCTATTTTTCCATAAGTGGACTTCTTTGGGTAGTCTTCCTTCAGGCATTCTTTTCAAATGTCCATACCACTTCAGGCATTTTTTCTCAATCTCTTCCAGAATGGTTCTTTTAACCTCCATCTTTTCTCTAATGGTCGTATTTCTGACTTTATCCATTCTGGATATTCCCGCCAAAGGTCTCCAGTAGTCTATTTCGGTGGCTAGAAGTTTCTTCCTGAGGTAGCTTTTTATGGTCCAAGTTTCTGACCCATACATACGTCATAATGCTGAGTACTATACTATTGTAGATGTTTTTTTTGTTTCGGGGATAATGTTCCGGTTCCATAATACCGAGTTGAGCATTGATATGGCCTTATTCTATATAAAATAATAATATAATTCAATTTTAAAGATTGGTGAAAAATATTCAATTAGATATCAAATTTGTCAAATTTCATTCTCTATTTATTGGTAGTAAAAATCTATTTTCCTTGATACACTTGTATTTTCAAAAACGGGTCATCCAAATTGGTCCAAAATTGGAGGAAAGTTTAGAATAGTATAAAATTAGTTCAGTATCAATTTTATCAAATCCCATTTAAAAATTCAAATTTATGTTTGTTAATAATTCAATGCCTGTAAAATTTGATAGGGAGAGAACATATGTTATAGAACGTTCTATAGTTTTTTGAATTGCAATTTATTTTACATTAATTTTTTTTAAAGGAAGGAGATGGTCCGGGGTGGCGGTCATAAATAAGCTAAATAGTGACAAAACTATTTAATTAAAAGCCAACATATCGACCCGACATAGGTCTTCTTGAGGGAGGTGTGTTCAGCTAGGAACGTTGGCTTTTAATAAAATAGTTTTGCCCCTATTTAGCCTATTTATGACTGCCATCCTGGACAATCTCCTTCCTATATAATGCAACGGTCAATTATTAAATATTCATTAATTTTTTTTAAAATATTCCATTAAGTTTTTAAATAAAATGTGTACGGTACTAAGCGTATATTCATATTTTTAAAGTGAAAACTTCTTTAGACACGCTTAATACTTTTTTTTAATGGATAGTGAACGAGACAGAGGCGTCAAGCTTGGCTATGTAACACTGATTTGCATAAAATTGGCTCGACTAATTTTTGCATTTGGATTAAAATATTTCAAAAATTAAAATTCAGATCTGCATAAAGTAAGCGAGGGAAATTTTCAGCATTCCATCCTCTTTATAATGAGCAATAATTCAAAATTGCATTTTGATATGATGCCGAGTTTTGAGTCAGAAAGAGAAAAGGAAAGCACAAAAAAAAAAAAAAAAAAAAAAAAAAAAAATGAATGTTTTAAATATTTGGACTAAAATATCTCAAAAATTTAAATCCATGGAGAATTTATGAACTGATTTACAGAAGTCAATATAAATATATTTTTAATTAGCCATAAAAATGAGTAACTAAGTGTTTCTACTTCTATTTGATTTCTATTGTTTCTGTTGCAATCAATAGTGTTTCAACAAATTTTAGTTAATTGTATATTTTGTTAGATAGATAGATAGAAAATAAACTTTATTCTGGGACGAGGTCCCTTATGAATAACAGTTATGAAAAAATAAAAACTACATCTGGCCAAAAATTACATTAATCAATATTAAAGAATATATACAGTATCTTCAGTAAAAGTATATTAAACAAATAAAAATAACACCATTTTGAAAAAAAACAAAAATTATTTAAAAGAAAAAAAAAATAGAAATCTAGTAAAAAATAAATAACAAAATAATATAAGCATGGGTTGATTTTTAAAATTAAAACTCAAACAATTTCTACAACCATTCACCTCAGTCAAAATCTGTTTCACAATATTTATTTCATTGTACGTCATTTTGGGATGTGAGAAGGAATTGGTAGAGATGATATTTAAATGAGGACAAGGAAAAGGCATGGCGGATATCAGATGGCAAGCAATTCCAGAAGGCAGTGGATCGGGTAATAAAGAAATATTAAAATGTCTTAGTTCTAAGGGAAGGGATATAAAGTTCAGAAACACGGGATCTTGTTTTCTGGGAGTGGACCACGGGTTTGAACTGCAGATGTAGGAATGGTGTCGGGTATTGATCGTTTGGTATAGGAAAGATCCAAGGAAATATTGTCTGCGGAAAGAAGGGAAGAGCCACTTTAACTCATCGTAAAGATAGGACACATGAGACCGCCTCGAAGTACCGAAGACAAATCTTAAGCAGGAATTCGTGAGTCGCTTCAATCTATCCTCGAGTACCATCGGGATGCCTCCATACACCACACAGCCGTATTCAAAGTGGTGGAAAATAAGAGGATACTAGGAGCTTGCAGATAGGTTGTGGGAATAAGTGGGGGAGGGGGGAATAGCTTAAGGGTAATAGCCTAGTATCCTCTTATTGACTTACGGGAGATGAGGGCGATATGGGGTTTTCAGGAGAAGTTTTCGTCTGTGGTGATTCCTAGTTTTTAAAGGAAGGAGCTGAATGTGATAGGATGATCGTTGATGACTAAAGGAAGAAGGACGGAGATGGATTTAGGAATAGAACTGGAACCTATAATAATGGCCTGAGTTTTTATCGCGTTTAGTTTTAAATTATTCAGACTTGCCCAGTTATAAAGTATTTATTTTTAACATTTTAGTTATAAACCTATTGTTAAATTTTTAGAATATTATAAAAATGACTATTAGACGAAGCAAAGTTTAGCAGAGTAATTTACACACAATTATAATTTTATATATTGTAAATTTTATAACTTTATGAACATAGGACTAAAAAAATGTATATTTCATATTATTAATCCCACCTTATGATGTTTTCATATCTATCATGTGGTCTTAAGAACCCACTGTAGTTTTTTTTTATTTTAAAAGTTTCCTTTAAACGTAGAAATAAGAGATAAAAATGGACCCCAGATGCTTTATGTTAAATGACAATAATGCTAAGGATGTCAAAGGGTCTTAATTATTTTCCAAGACGTACTAAAATAAATAACTTTTTTTTTTTTTTATTATTTTAATGGAATTTACAACTGTATTACATATAAAATACAAGAAGTAAATGTGAAATTGATAACATGACAAGTACAACATGAAGAGAAACTACCCATTGGTAGAACTCAAAAAAATAAATAACTAAAACAGAAAATTTCTTTTCTATTATCAACTCAATAGAAATTATGAGGTAGTCATAAACAACAACTTGGCAGAAGTTGTTCACTATAAAACTGGTGCACCTACTTGAAAAATCATGGATTTATTTCTACTCGGCATACAGAGAAACTTCTATATCTAAACAGACTCTCCATAAATATCTAAATTATAGTAATAAAAAAATAATACCCAGCTCAGGGTCAAATTTATCTCCTTCCGGTTCTTGCAAAGACACTAATGTACTCATCAGGCTAACCAAACTGACAGCAGATGTCAAGTCCAAAATACATTTTGTGATGTCTCGAAGATACGACAGAGCGCCTGTAATAGCTTCATTTCGACATGTAACATCTTTCTTGTTAATGTTGGGACCACCGAGCTTTATAAGTGTTTCTAAAAAATAATAAATAATAAATATCCAAGAACGAAAACAGAAACACTAGACTGAAAAGAATAAAAGATTTACTCATGAGACGTTGGGAGTACACTTCTGAGGTTAAATCCGGCCATGAGAGATAGGTATTGAAAACAGACAAGATCAAAGTGAAGCATTGTTTCATTTCATTAGAGCCAGCACAGAACATCCCGGTGGCATCCAAGATACCGTCATTAATTATCAACAGGTTCTGAAAAAATAATTGAAATATTGAAAGTTTTACAGAGTAAACATAGAAAAATTCTAAAATAAGATATTTTTTTAAAATATCATTGGGTTGTCCGGAAAATAATGCAGGATTTTGAGTTTTATTTAAAACACTCTTCTATATAACAAACTTTTTACATTTACTGGATGTCATTTGTATGAATGCACTTATTAATCCTCTATCAAACGATAATATTTGTTTACCTCTGTAGCATTTCGCTGCATAGAAATAATTCAATCTTTACTGTCAATGTGTCTTTGTTCTACAAGTTTAAACTCGGCTGGGTTGGGGCCCAGATGGCCAGAAACATCAATCAAGTCTAGAGCAAGAGCAGTATTAATGAGTGCACTGTTCAAGGGTGGTTCGAAAAATTTCGGGAGGAACTTCAGCATTGAAGACAAAAAACGTTGTGGAAGGAATTTCTCTATTGATGAAGATGTTCTGCGGGATTTGGTGAAAGAAAATCTCAGAATAACTGTTCGACAACGTGCAGGGAAACTCCAGAATCCAGAATTGTTATTAATGATGAAAAGTGGATACTTTACAGTAGCAGTAGCCATTTTAGACAGTGGCTTGACAAAGGAGAAGCAACAGAACATTTTCCAAAAACCCCCAACTCATCAAAAAAAGGTGATGGTACCTGTTTGGTGGGCTTCATTTGGTTTCATACAATACAGCTTCTTAAATTCTGGAGAAACCATCAATGCCGAATCGTATTTTAACTAAATTAATGTAATGCACCAGAAATTGGCAACAATGAAGCCATCTCTGGTCAATCGGAAGGGGCCATTTTGTAGCATGACAACGCCCGGTTACATGTCTCACATGTGATGTCACAAAAACTATTGCAGCTCGGATAAGAAACTCTGCCACATCTGCCCTACTCTCTGGATCTGTCCCCTAAGGATTATCATTTTTTTAGACACCTGGACCACTACTTACGTGACAGACAATTTAATGAACAAAGGGAATTAGGAAATGCGTTTTTGGAGTTGATAGTAGTGGAGACTATTTTGATTAAATAAAACAGGTGTAAATCCGTATTATTTCTTTTTAAACCAAAATCCTGCATTATTTTCCGGATAATCCAATACAATAATATATATATCATGGGTGATAAATATTCAGGAGGCAGTCATTAAAATGTTTTTATTAGTGCCGGCATTCAACCCGAACATGTGGGTCATCATCAGGGCATGGTTCGAGCACTGAAGGTAATCAAGTACTCATTCTGAAGGAGTAATATGTTTAATTTAGTTAGTTTCTCAAAAGGAAAGTAAACGCCAACTTAAAATTTTAACTTACATGTAAGTATTCCACAATTTTGTGTAAGTGATTGCAGAGATGGTGGGCAAGTTTTGAAACATTTGTAACAACCAAATCCAACGGTACAGTAGAGAACACATCAAAACCTGCAGGTTCTTTGCGTGGTCTAATCCCTTTGCTTGTGTGCATGCAGTACCTCAATTTTGAATTGAGGTCATCTAAGATAAGCATTAGTTCATTTGGACCGAGTTCTGCACTGCAAAAACCATCCTAAATGGAAAATAAATGATATTAATAAAATATCTAAAAATAAGAATAATAAATTAGATAAATAAGTCTACATATATAATAAGTATTATTAAATTCAATAAAATTAAATTAGATAAGTTGTAGATTTATTGCAAAAACCCATTAAATGACATTTCATAATTTTAAATTGCTAAGAAATTGGATGAATTTTCTCTTTGTGAAATCAGAACATTTTGTAGCTAAATTTGATATATAAAAGGCTTTGTGCCGTTCTCTGTTCTTACTTTGTTTTGTTTTTTTTATTGATAAATAAGGTCTAAATTCACAAAAAATGTTATTAAAAATTCAACTAAATCAGAAATGTACTTTGTGACTTTTAGCAATAATAATATTTATTTTATTATGCGGCTCTACAATCCACAAGCTGAGTCTTGACTTACTCCAGCATTGATCGCCAGTCATTTCTGTTTTGTGCTGCTGCAGCCTTTCAGTTGCGAATGCCAAGTATCGATAATGCATCAATAGTAACAGTCTTCCCTAGACTTACTAGGAGTCTAGGACGTCAAACCTTTTGTACTCCAAATAATTTCTCCGAAAGGACTTTAGATGGAATTTCCTGTAGATTCATCCTAGCGACATGGCCTGCCCATTTCAATTAAGAGAATTTAATCATATCCACCACATCCAAGTTGCTATATAGATTTCTCAGTTCCAGGTTTGTCTTTCTTCTCTAGTCTCCGTTAACACATGCAGCCCCAAAAATTCTCCTCAAGATCTTTCGTTCAAACCTGAACAGTTCCAGTTCCTGAACTCTTGTGAGCCCGTCTGGCCTCTGAGGCCATGATTCACCACCTATGTTATATACAAGTAAACATTTTTCGTTGATGTAGATTACACATCAAATGCATTGAGAAGGATAGCTATCTAATGTTAGAGATCTCGCTGGGGTATATTAGTAATTTTCTATAATATATAACATAAACTATTATACAGGTTGTTTCAGCGTCAAATGGCCAAACTGAAAATATGAATTAAGCACCTCAAAACAAGAAAATAAATTCCTCTGAAGGTATGTCCGCATTGTTTAGGAGTTATTCACACCTAAAGATTTTCGTTGTTATGAATTATTTACATTATATGAAATAAATAAAGCCTATTTATTTGTTCTAACTTCTTTATTAATTAAATGTAGACATTAACATTCATATTAAATGTTGTCCAAAGTGAATTTCTTGAGCATTAAGACAGGCTAGGCATATTTCTTCAACAGCAGCAGTGGCAGAACAGCACTGGATATGTGTTATTGTTTCAAAAGATTCGATTATCCTTCTTCGTAAGGAATTAAGGTCATTGACCGGACTTGCATAGACTTTTTGTTTAATGTCACCCCAAACAAAAAATCCAGTGGTGTCAGGTCTGGAGAGCGTGCAGGTCATGCCACAGGTCATGCACGGCCAATACATCGATTGGGATATGGGATATGATTGAGCAAGTCATGTCAAGCTCAATGACCTTAATTCCTTACAAAGAAAGATAATTGAATCTTGTGAAACATATCCAGTGCCGTTCTGCCACTGCTGCTGTTGAATAAAGATGCTGAGCCTGTCGTAATGTTCAAGGAAATCACTTCGAAAAACAATTCATATGAATGTTAACATTTAATTAATAAAGTAGTCAGAACAGATAAATAGGTTTTATTTATTTCATATAACGTAAATAATTCATAACAATGAAAATCTTTAGGGGTGAATATCTCCTAACCAAAACGTTTGCGGACATACCTTCAGAGGAAATTTTTATCTTGTTTTGAGATCCTTAGCTCATTTTTGCAGTTTGGTCACTTAACCCTGAAACACCCTGTATTAAATTATAATGATATTAAGATACAAAGATCATATAATTACTTGGATGGGTTTCGGCATCGGAACTAGAGGCTGGGTAAGGACTATGCAAACATCGAACTCCAACTCCCGCAAGTGACACTTGAATTTAGAGAACTCTAAAGATATCAGCTCCACATCCTCTTCATCTTCACTTTCCTCGACTGATATTGCAGTTTCATCAACTGCATCATTGTCATCCTTCTCCTTGTCTTTTTCATTGTTTTTATCTTTTGCCTTTTTTCTTCCAGTAGTTTTCTTACGTTTGGGAACGGCTAGCCTGAAAATTATATTTACGTTTTAACGAAAATAATTCAAGTGATTGGGAGATTTCATTCTTTTAGACATGTTAACTGTTAATTTGAAGAAATGACCCAGGGTCGCAGTAATAAATAATTTAAAATATTATAAAATAAAATAATTGAAGAGAAGTTGGTTGGGGTCTTCAGTCAAAAATATAAATAAAGATATTTATTTTTATCTTTGCCAAAGTTTTGGGCGAATGTTCAGGCCTTCATCTGGACCCACAAGAAGTTTCCGTAAGACTTGGTATTTTAGGAGTTTAAAATGTCATTTTAAGAAGTTCAAATAGTTATATTAATCAACTCCTTGATATAAAGTTTTGAACTTTTGAGCAATAAAGAAATATAATATTATATTTATTTGTCAACACTTTTATAAAAGGTTTTTTGTTTACTTGAGAGGGGGAAAATCAACTCCAACCACCTCAGGTATGTTCAATTTTAATTTCTATTGAATGTTGAGAAAGCCTCTTACAATTCCTGCAGTATTCAACAGCTTTCTGAGCTTCATTTATTACATGAGTTGGGAGGCCCAGCCTGTCAGTAGCTTCCACAGTAGACACCGGTATCAGGCCATTGCTGGAGATCACAGTGCCCCTAACGGTTACTTTATTAAGGTTATACAAACTTTTTAACTCAGTGGCAAGACCTTGATACTTCCAAATGTTTTCTGCACAGATTTGAGTTAATGTTTCTGTCATTTGGTACAGCGATGTCTATAATCTAAGTATCAGATACCATGATACTACTATTAATTAACACGATATCAAGTCTGTTGTGAGTCACGAGATGGTCAGTAATAAACGATTGATTCCAATATAATTTTATACTATCTTTCTGGCAGAGAGCTTTAGGGCTGTATTTATAGTAGGGACCAAATTGTTTAATAATTTACTTTTCAGAACAATCGCCTGGTGATAGACTTTGGCAAAATCATCATGTCTTTTAGGTTTTCTGTACCTGCAAGAGCTCCGCAGCCTCCAGTTATGTGTTGAATGGAACCTCCGTTTATTATTATTATTTTATTGTCAACACTTTTACAAAAGGTTTTTTTTTGTTTACTTGAGAGGGGGAGAATCAACTCCAACCACCTCAGGTATGTTCAATTTTAATTACTATTGAATGTTGAGAAAGCTTCTTACAATTCTGGCAGTATTCAGCAGCACCGCTTTCTGAGCTTCCTTTATTACATGAGTTGGGAGGCCCAGCCTGTCAGTAGCTTCCACAGTAGACACCGGTACCAGGCCATTGCTGGAGATCACGATGCCCCTAACGGTTACTTTATTAAGTTTATACAAACTTTTTAACTCAGCTGCTAGACCTTGATATTTCCGAATTTTTTCTGCGCAGACTGAGTTAATGTTTCCGTCATTTGGCACAGCGATATCTATAATTTCAGCCACCTTAATATTACCGTCAATTAATACAATATCAGGTCTGTTGTGGATCACGAGATGGTCTGTTATGAACGATTGGTTCCAATATAATTTTAAGTCATCTTTCTGGCAAATACCTTTAGGGCAATATTTATAGTAGGGCTTCGAGTCGTTTAATAATTTAATTTTTAGACCAATTGCCTGGTGATAGACTTTGGCAACATCGTCATGTCTTTTTAGGTATTCTGTACCTGCAAGAGCTCCGCAGCCTCCAGTTATGTGTTGAATGGACTCATATGTGCTTGCACAGAGCCTACATTTGTCCGATACATTCTGTTGCTTCAAGACGTGTCGCCAGTAGGATCTGGTAGCTATAACCTGGTCCTGGATTGCAGTTAAAAAACCTTCAGTCTCGGGAAACAGACTTCCTCCTACCAGCCAGCTAACAGACAAAGATTTATCTATTTCAGTCTGCTGAAGCTGGTGAAAAAACCTTCCATGTAATGCTTTTGACTTCCATTCTTCCATGCGGTCTTTGTCGGTAACAAAGATTGGCGCAGTTTCATGAGAGGCTAATTGTAGAGCAGTGTGCCCGCGATCGAGATTGCAGATTATCTTATGGCACGGCACTGCGCTTTGTTTAAAGTACTCCCTTAGGTTCTTTTCTTGATTTCGACAAGACTCTTCAATATTTGTAAGACCTCTCCCTCCTTCCTTTCTTGGCAGGTAAAGCCTTGCCATAGATGCAGTCGGGTGGTGCATTCTGGAACCCGTCATACTTGTTCTTATTAACCTATCCAATTCCTGGAGTGACGTTTTGGACCATTTTAGAATTCCAAAGCTGTAAGATAAGGAAGGAATAACCCATGTATTTATAGCTTTTATCATTAAACCTGCAGAAAGATGTGTTCTAAGGATGATCTTTAGTCTTTTTTTAAATGAACCTATCAATTTACCTTTTACATCCTTTCTAGCTATTTTTAAATGCTGTTCTATCCCTAGATATTTATACATATCTTCTTTCTGAAGGTTCTTAATATGATATTCTTCATTAAACAAGTTTTCGGAATTATTTGGTTTTCCTTTTATAACGTGAAGAACTGCGCATTTCTCAGTCCCAAGGGACATCTGTATGGAGTCACTAAAGTGGCTGACTGTCTTTAGCATAGACTGGAGCTGGGATTTATTCTTTGCGTAGAGTTTTAAATCGTCCATATAAAAGCTATGACTGATCATTGCACTTAATTCATTAAATTTTACTTTGTATCCATTTTCTTCACGATTTAATAAAATTGACAATGGAGCCATCGCAAGACAAAACCAAAGGGGGCTGAGGCAGTCTCCCTGGTATATACCTCTTGAAATGGTAATGTATTCAGGTGATTGCTTATCTCCTATTCTCAGTCTTGTTTTCCAGTTGTCCATCAATTTCCTCAGAAGTTCTTTAATATAAGGATGGATTTTATATAAATCCAGAACTTTTAAAAGCCAACTATGAGGAACTGAGTCAAATGCTTTTTTGTAATCAACCCAGGCTATTGACAAATTTCTTTTATTCATGGTCGTCTGGCCTGCAACGAATGAATCGATGAGCAAAAGTTCTTTACACCCTTGGGCTCCTTTTCTACAGCCAAGCTGCTCGAGTGGAATCAAATTATTGGTTTGCAGGTGAACTTCAATTTTACTTGTGAGGATGGATGTTAAAATCTTATACACACCGTTGAGGCAAGTGATTGGCCGAAAATCTTGGGGGTCCAATCGATCTCCTACTTTTTTGGGAATCAGCACAGTAACGCCCTCACAAAACGTTTTGGGAATGTCTATCTGCCCTGTTATCATTTTTTTATAATTCATTGCAAGTGTTTCATGCAGGCAGGATAGATTCTTTAACCAGTAATTCTGAATTCTATCACTACCCGGCGCTTTCCAATTTTTCATTTTCTTTGTAGCGATGATTACATCCTCTTTCGAGATGTCGAATTCTGGCATTTGAGGTTTCTCCTGAAGTTCAGCATTTACTAATTTTAACCATTCGTTTTCATTATTATGCTCTACATTGTGCTCCCAAAGCTCTTTCCAATACTCTATAATATTGTCAGTTAATGAACAATTTGCACCTCCCTTATTATCATTACCTAAGCTCCGATAAAACTGCTGCTCACTGTTTTTGAACATTTTGTTCTGCTGTTTTCGAAGTAACGACTTTTTATATCTTCGTATTCTGTTTGCATAAACTGCAAGTTTTTGCTTCAGTATATCAGCATGTAAAGCCAGTTTTTCGGTGAGCTCAGATTCTAACACCACCCCTATTTGTAGTACAACTATTTCGTCGATTTTTCGTTTTACTTTTGTACTTGCTCCAACGGGGTTCCTGATATAACTCGTTATGACTCCAATATTTGCCCTGAGCGACGCTATTTTATTTTCCAATCTTCTCTGCCAGCGTGGAAGTTTTGTATGATTTTTATCTTTCTTTTTTCCTTGTTTTTCCAAGCCAAGTTCAATAATAATGACACTAGCTGCAACATAGGCCCAATGACAAACAGCTTCGACAGTCATTTCTGGGTAATCTACAATAATTCTACTCAGAGCCTCATTAACCCGATTCACAGTCAACCGTGATTTGAAGCTATAGGGAATCTTTGAGAGGATTGGTCTAACATCAAGCGGTATCCCCTCATAAATCACATGCTGGGATAATAATGATTCCACTAGTTTGTCAATGTCTTTGTCTTCTTCTTCTGGAGGAGCTGCCTCTATTGCCATCGATCTTTCTAGAAAAGGTTCTGTTGGCTGCTCTTCATTTTCAATTTGCACCATTCCTAATCGTTCAGATACTACTATTTTGATATTTTCTGTTTCCACTTCAGATAGAAATTTTCTTGAACGGATCACTCTAACTTGGTCACTTATCCTTTGTGAACTCATAGTCATCTGTGGATATAGTTCTTGCCAATACTGTTGAATCCTTCCTAGGTATCCCGTCTTATCTGTTTCCAATTTTGTTGCCAAAAGATATGCCTGGATGACAGCCTTGTTCATTTCTGGCGTCCATTTCATCCTTCGAGCACCTCTTGGTCTCTGTTGCCGGGTTCGTGCGGGAGGAGAAATAGTCTCGCCCAAGCCCGAACTCGAACTAGTTGCCGGTTCTTGCAGTCTTGTGGTCCTTTGCGACAGGGTGGCGCCACTTGCTCCGCCACTACCTGAAGGAAGCTGTCGAAGGTTCCCGCCTGGTGCAGCCTCATTCCCAGGCTCGTCCGAGGCTATACGTCGATTTCTTAGCTCCATTTTTTATGGGTGATTGCATTTTAAACCTTCTGCCAGGCCTTCCTAGGTAAGGTTGCCCTAGGGTGTGTACTGCAAATGTCCTTGGTGTCAGTGTATGTGGTATTGTGTACTGTGATGTATGTGTTTGTGAACGGTGGGATGTACTCAGGATCCCGGGGGAGCGTAAAACCCCAACAACTGCGTTCATCTTATTATTATAAATTTATAAGTAAGTTAACTGTTCACTTTTTGTATAATTCTAAATAAATTAATTTTATTTAAAGTAGCCCACAGTCAAAATGATACACCTGAATATTGACAGATATTATTGAATAAATAAATAGTTCAATTTATATTACATTGAAAACAATAATTTACTGTAATCAATAAACATCCTAGTCATATGTTCTTAAGTTATGTTATGTTTTGTTTCTTGGTGTGGAGGTGTATGGCGGCCCTGGTGTAGGAAATCTTCACTTTATAGAGAAAATATTCACACGTTATGGTGAATAAACATATTTACATAGACATTTTGAGAATAAACTTGATAGAAATTGCAGAAAATCTGGGATTAAAAACAAATTTAGTTTTTATCATTATGAGCCCAAATACTCAGTTATTTTAGTTAAGGAATGGCTACTTAAACCTGCCCCAAAGTCACCAGATCTTAATGTGATAGAACATCTGTGAGAATAATTGGAGACAGAAAATAGAAAAAAAAAAATTTCTAGCAAAGATTTATAAAATAAATATCACATCGAGGAGTGGAATACGCTATGCCCAAAGAAGTAGTAGAAAATTATGGCTTACCTACAATATATTGAACTAAATTAATAGTATTTAATAGTTAATAAGAAGTGAAGTGTATCATTTTGACTGTGAGGTAAAATTATCCATTTTTTAAAATAATTACAGTTGAATGTTTTAATTTTATTGAGTTTGTACATATTTAAATTGAGGTTACAAATACATCTGTTGCAGAATTTTTGGTTTTATTTATTTACTATAACCAGTTTTTTTTTTTTCAATTTTTCTACGAGGTGTATCAATTTCACTGTGAGCCACTGTATATAATTTATTTATTCATTCAGTATCCACAAAACAAAACAAAAAAAAAATATCTATCTATAATAGTATTACTGAGCATTATGATATATGGATCAGAAACTTGGACCATAAAAAGCAACCTCAGGAAGAAATTTCTAGCCACCGAAATGCTGGAGGAGAGCGGCAGTAATATCCAGAATGGGTAAAGTGTGAAATAAGACCACAGAGAAAAGATGGAGGCTAAAAGAACCATTCTGAAAGAGATTGAGAAAAAACGCCTGAAGTAGAATGGACATTTGAAAAGAATGACAGAAGGAAGGCTACCCAAAGAAGTCCCCTAATGGAAAACTAGGAAAAGAAGAAGACAAGGAAGACCTGGGATAACGAAGCGGAGGAATCCATGATGGATCATGGTCAACGGGAAGAATGGACCTTAGATAGAAGATTATGGAAAGAAGCCACCCAAGCACTTTAGGTTAAGAAAATCCACTATTAGTGGAAACTCCTAATTAAAACAAAATTATTTAGCCACTGTATTAAATTTATTCAAATCAACAAAGATGTAATAGAGCTGGTTGCAGATAACTGGAAAGAAATAGACCAAGGCGGTAAAAGATATACAAGATCTGTAACAGCAAAAGAAAAAAAAATTATTCTTGGCATATAGTAATGTCTATATTAATGTTATCTCATGTGTACTTTCCACTGTATTGATATAACGTTACTCAATCTTCTCTCATTTTTGAGATGTAATTTGATATTTTTTTAATTTTTGGCCCTAAAGATGACCCAAATGCTTAGGTTAAAACATCAGTATAAACATAAATACAAAACATAAATATAAATTCATGATGATGTAGAAATGATTGACCATGATATAATATGAGAAGGAGTTGATTGGGGAGAGCGGTCAAATAAATACTAAATTTTTAAAAAATAGTATTTTTAATTATTTCCCTGACATTTCGACCCACATTGCAGGTCTTCACTAGGGCTACAAAAGATACAAAATATAAAAGGTGCATGATGAAAATAAAATAAATGAATTATAAGTAGATATTAAATAAGAAACAATTGTCTGATAAAGAAATAATAAGATGACATCAGAGATATAATGGGTGACAGTGTGTTAAAATATCAAGTATTATATATATAGAAGATACAAACAAAAATAAAAATAAGTATGAATACAAATAGAAAACAAAGGAGAATATAGCATGTAAGTTAAAAGTAAACAGATTGTGATAAAAGATGAGGAATGAGTGTAAAACAAACTGGTAAAGATTACATTTGATAACTGTAGGTTAACAGATAAAGAAAATGAATGTTAACGAATAAGGAAATTGAAAATTGAATAAGTAATGATCTAGTAAAGGTAAAATAAGAATAAGATAACATAATAATATTGTTATTTTGTTAATCAAACAAAAACAATATTTTTGTTTGTCTTCTATATATAATACTTGATATTTTAACTACACTGTCACCCACTATATCTCTGATGTCATATTATTATTTCTTTATCAGACAACTGTTTCTTATTTAATATCTACTTATAATTCATTTATTTTATTTTCACCATGTACCTTTTATATTTTGTATCTTTTGTAGCCCTGGTGAAGACCTGCAAGGTGGGTCAAAATGTCAGCAAAATAATTAAAAATACTATTTTTTAAAAATTTAGTATTTATTTGACCGCACCCCCCGACCAACTCCTTCTCATAAATATAAATTATTGCATATGCTGATTATTTTTTACCCTCTTATTTTGTTATTTATTATCAGAACCCCGGACCATTTCTTCCTTCATTACATATATGGTCAATCATTAAATATTCAATATAATGAACTGTTTTGTTGTTATTGAGGTCTACTTTCACCTCTTTGAATATTGATATCGCATATTATATAATATTTTACAAACTAAAACAAAAATTAAAGTTACTTTTTTGATTTTTCAGCCTGTGCAGCCGGTTTTGAACCGATGTCATCAAGATAGTATACTGGAGGGCTATAATCATAAGCTTGTGGCAAACACACCGAGATAAGATTTTGGAAATAAACAACAGCCCTAAGTCTCTTCAAAATCTGAAAAAAATAATGTATATTATTAAGAATTTTATTCTAAAAACATGTCAGCTACAGGAAAACAACTTAAGTAACTTATTGGGAAAGTATACGCTGAAAGTTAACATTAAAGTAAGGCATCCCCTCTATATATAATTAAAGAGAGAATTAAACAAAAAAAAAAACTTTATGAAAGCATTAACTTGCTACAAAAATCCATTGGATAGTGAAGTTTATAAGAATGAAAAAAATATAGTAAAGATAACAGTATACTCAAGATAAAATGTTAAAATTCTACAGTATTAAAATCCATCCGGAAAGAAAAGAAGTCAGTCCTAAAATTTATCAAGGACAGAAGTAGAAAACTTCTTAATAAAAGCAAAGCTATAATTGAGTGGTGGAAAGAGGAAAGAATATTTTCAAGAACTACTTAATCTCGACCATCATTCTAAAAATTGTCTTCATTAATAATTATGATAAACTTTTCAGAATATAATCATCATTATCTAAATAGGCAAAAGCAAAACTGCTCAATCCCTTCTTATCTCAATATATTTTCTTTTTTTGTTTGGGAAGCTATTGACGAGCCTTAGTGTTATCAATAAAAACAAGATTGTAAACAGCTTATAATAATCAAAATGTAAATGTTAGTTTCTGTTGGAGTGTTTTTATATAAATTTCATTAGCATCCCGCTTTTCATTTCGAAATGACGGCCGAAAAACGTGAGTTGTTATGAACTATAGCACCAAAATGGCTGTAACGATTAAAATAAGACTAGACTAAAGTCTTCTCCTTGAAGCCCTTTTAATTTATATATAAAATATACTTCCCTGAAAAGAGGCTGATGAAAAAAGTAACGACGCATTCAGAATTTCATTCACAAATAATTAAAAAAGTACACAATTTTTGGTTCATGAAACCTACGAGTATATTACTGAACATCCTAAAAATTGAAAAAAAAAATCAAAATCGAAAAGAATCATGCCCGTTAAGATATTTCTATTGCATTTTTACATTTTTTCGTTTTATAATTGTTAATCCTATATAATTGTATATTAGTTTTAAAAAAATGTATGTATTGATTAATAAGTATGCTGTGTTTATAGCAATCCAATGTAATTGGACAGCACCCTTTTATGATAATAAAGTGATTCTCTCTTTTTAGGATAGCTCTATTACGACAAATTTATAATTGGAATATAGCTATAGTATGAGTACAACGTTGAAATGAAACGATTTGTACCGACTGAAGCAGCAAAGTGTGTTCAAATATTTTCTTAAGGAGAAATCCTAATTGAGAATGGTATTTCGCACTGGAAAACCTTTCAAATACGAACTTTCATAGCAATAAAAAAAAAATTTTTTTTTCTTATTAACAAAATTTACAACTGTAATTAATAATAAATACAACAAGTAAATATGAACAAGTAATATGACATGTACAACATGAAGAGAAACTACCCATTGGTAGCACTCCAATTATATTTCTATATTAGAAGGTCTCGAGGCCATCTTCTTTTCAGATGCCTCGGAGGGTTATCAGGAATAGAAGAGGAAGCAAGGTTGGAAACGAAAGGGTTCGGATGGTTCAGAAGTTTATTATGAAAGGACAGGTATCTAGATTGAGCTAAATCGGAAACATATGGTACATTAGGGTCATTATGGATGATTTTATTTGTGACAAAGTAGGAAGCATTAAGGATTTTACAAAGGATTTTGGATTATAGGGATTGGATACGAGAGGAATTTGATGGTTTAGTAGAGCCCCAAAGCTCGATCCCATAAGTCCAAATAGGCCTTATCATAGTAATATATATGAGTCTTTTGTAAATAGTTGGCAGTTTAGAGCGTTTGTCTAGTAAGTGCTGGAGTAACGAAGTAACGTCTGGCGGTTTCTAGTTGTTTCAGTCACGGTGGAGTCCAAGGTATCGGATTCGGTCAACAGGGATAAGTGGGGTATTGTTAAAGGATGCTGTAGGACAGGAAGTCATAGGTTTAAAGTTAATTTGATGGGATTTATTGGAGTTTATTTTAATCCTCCAGTTTTGACACCATTTTTCAAGACTTGTGATGTGTGATTGAAGAGTGATGTGGGATGCAATAGATGGATCGTTATTAACTGATAGGATACATGTGTCATCGGAATATCAATCGAAAAATAAAAATTATTTGTCTCAAAGTTTCACAACTGTTTTTTTAAAAAAGAAACAATAGATTCATGTTTTTATTTGCCAATAACTCAAAAGTACACAAATGGTATCGCAATGTTTTCTTTCTTAAATGAATGCACAATTATATATAAGAGTAGAAAAAAATGTTGGAAACATGTAAATTCATTTATGTTTTCCTCAAATATTCAATAATCATTATGGTCGGATTTTGAACAATTGAAAAACACTAATGACTGGTATGAATATATTATAGTTGACTAGTATAAATAAATATTTATAAATTATTTTACTTTATCTGGCTTCCCATCTTTGACAAAGTAGACAAATGAGTTGAGCATTTCTCTGAGAAAATTGCAAACATGGAAAAGACAATCTAGAGCTAGATTTTGGACGTGGCAGTCTGCGTTTCCGAACTTGGTATATATCGTTGGCGAAGGGAGTGATATCGCACAGCCGAGGAGAGCGTCTATTTCAGTAAGATCGGCAAGTTCCAAGGCACGAATCAATCTCACCAGACCAGGCAAAGCAATGATCCTAAAAAGAAATTAATTAAATCTTACATAAAATATGCAAGCTCTAATAATTGTTTGATACGAGAAGGAGGTGGTAGGGAGTGCGGTCAAATGAACACTATAAACAGAATAGTATTTTATAGTATCTATTTGACAGCACCCTCAACCAACTCCTTCTCGTATCATAATCATGGTCAACCATCTCTACACCATTTTAATAATTATTGTTTAAAAGCAGTTGGTTGTGGGTTACAGTCATTGGAAGAATACAAAAATAAATTATATTTATTTTTTGAGCTGACGTTTAGACTTAAGTTTCAGGCTTTCATCAGGACTAAGCAAAGACAAGGTAACAAATAAATACTGAGAAAATAGTAAATGTATGCAGTTAAACTCAACATTAATAAATATGTAGAATGGGAATAATATTTATAAGACTTTTTTCAGCTTCAAATATGTTATAACTTATCAGAAGATCATTATTAACAAAATTAAGCAGTTTTTATTAATCTCTTAGAAAGTTAAATTAAAGAAATGAGTTAGGCTTTGTTGAAATTCATATGATGATTAATTATATTAAATTAAAACAATTTTTTTATAAAGGAGTGTAATATTATAATATTATTACGGGATAGTAGATGTTGAGGAATTTGTTTCCAACACGACGGCGTCCACTAAGTTAAATACAATTGGATCTTCGAGATCAGTGTCGATACAGAACTGCAAGGATGATTCCAAACCATTATCCCTATATAAAAAAAAAATAATAATAATAAATAGTTTGTATGATACGATAATTCATAAAGTTTAAATTGAAAATTTATCTTACTTGGACAAATAATCGGAACTGGCAATAATGTAGTGATTCTGCAAGTATCCTTGCATCATTATAGAAACTTTTTTCTTAAAAAAAAAAAAAAAGAATATATATATATTACGATTTCATTAAAAATTATAAAATTACAAATAATTAAGAAGTAAAATCTTACCGTAAAAGGCTTATCCAAATTGTCAGAATTCAAAATCATGTATGAAAGCTGGTCAAATACCAAAACTTGAGCTTCTGCATTAGCCCTCGTACCAGTCAATACAAGATCTAAATCAAATCACAAGATAGATTTTATTAAAAATTGATAAAATAAAAGAATTAGTAAATATGTCGAAACTACAAACAATATTTTTGAGCTGAAATATATAAAATAAGACTGTAAGTTATTACAAAATAATTTACTATTTCCAAATAGTTATGTATCAAATATGAGTGGGTGGCACGCATATTATGTAAAGGGCAAGTTATAATATTCCTGATCAATATCGATATATATCTCTAATTAGTATGATATTGAATAAAAAATATTGATTTTTATATGATATTGAATAAAAAATATCAATATTAGTATAATATTGATATAAAAAAAAATTGTCAAGATCTAGAACCTCGGGAATAAAGTGATGATTGTATTCTTGGGTATCTTGAATATTGGCGACCGGCAAATGAAGTAATCGACAAATCATCAGTAGCTAAGAAATCTTAAAGTGACATAAAGTTTTTATTCTGCTCGAATCGATCTTTTCATGTTGTTTTTTTGTTTTTGAATCATTGGTTTCAATTTATTAGACAAAATCCAAAATAGGTTGGATACATCCAAAAGTAGTTCCTGTAGCTGTTGTGATCTTCCTACGGAAACTCTCTACAAATACTGTTGGTGGCATCGAGTAAATTCTACTTCTTTACCCAGGTTGGAACCCATACTTTTCTAATTTGTTTTTAACATTTTTCAAATTATTCCTCAACTCATTTACTAATTAGTTCGCAAAATACTTTTGCGAATACATATTCTGCCAAAGGGGACAAAAGCACGACCATCAAAGACACTCTCCCCAACTGGAGAAGGTCGTAAACATCTGGAGGGAGAAAGCAAGTTGTGTGAAATGCACATTATTGGTAGTCTTGCCAAATTCAGGACCTCATGTGAACGTATCTTTATAGGTATTGTTCATTAATAAACTGAAATCATCACTTAACATCATTGTGGATATGAAACAAAAAAAATGTTCTCGATTGCAATACTTACCCTTACTATATATTACATAAGTACGTAAGTGAAAGTAAAAATCGCTATATCTCTACTAATAGTGCTTTGATTTCGATGAAACTTTTTTTTTTTTTTTTAAGCAATTTAAATACCTTTGAAACATCTTATTATAACATTCCCAAAAAAGTGTATACTTTTTGAGTTATCCGGAATTTAATTTTACCATCCCTCGTAACTTTTTGTCCAGCTTCTTTTCGTTGAAGTATGTTATATAGATGAATTTAAAGGGTGTCGAGAAAATGACTTGAGCGAAGTTTCATTGAAATCGGTACATTCGTTTAGGCGCTACAGTCTATAGCAACGCAGGTTTTTCTGTATTTTTATTTTTTTTCTCCTTTATTAACTTATCAAATTCTTTCAAAAGTTATATTTAGCATTTTTTCGTAACTTTTAATGATGTGAAATGATTAACTTTTTAAAATAAACCATATTAAAGGTACTTTAGAGGAAGACGTATATGAACATTGGGCATTTAAGCCCTGTAAAATGCCATCAATGGGGATAAGACCTAATTGATATTAAAGACCACTTAATTATACAATGGTACACCGAGTTTAATCAAAATCGTTAGAGCCGCTTTTGAGAAAATTGTGTAAATGTGTTTCAGTGTTGATATAAAGTGGCACTTCCGGTGAGCTGATTTTAAGGAAAAAGTTGCCATCACATCAAAGGCATATACCTATCTTAAATACGTAATATCAGTTTTGTAGGACTTTTCGTTTTTGAGCTAGACTGCTAACATACAAACACACAGACCATTTTTTGGGACTTGGTCATTTCGACTCAGGGTACCTCAAAATGTGTATTTCCGTTGAAAACTCAGATTCAAAAATTTTCTTGATCGCAATACTTACCCTTACTATATATTACATATATACGTAAGTGAAAGTAAACATTTATCTGAACAGTTTTGGAGCAATTTCTTATTCAATAAGAAACTTGACCACTCAAAATTAGTCTTAACTCCTTGTGAAAGTAAAAAAGTTGTTGACTCTCCAATATAATGATATAAGAACATTAGTGGTAGGGTTGAAATTAATAGTAAACAATTGTTTAATGCTCATCAGATATCATAATTACCCAAAAGATTCATGGCTTTCTTTCCGCTACCATCCAACTGAATCTCTTCTTCAGACGAAGGGGTCTCATTAGTGTCATTTTCTCCCTTCTTTACCATATGCCTGATTGTAACTATGGCGGCAATAATTCCACTTCGAAATATACTAAAAAATTTTAAAAAACCGTGAAGTAAAATTAAGGATAATAAAAATCAAGTTTAACCTTCATAATTAGTTTTAAATACATACACGGCTTCTGGACAAGAAAGCTGCTTCTGTACTATCATGCATATTTCATCTTGGACGCCAATGTTATCAATGGAATTGTCGCTGGCATCTCCAAAGGCTATCATACATAGCATGTCCATGAACTGCCTGATTTCCACCACTTTCATTTCAATTACCACATCTAATAATGTCTGAAAAATAATAATAAAAGAATAGAAAAGAAGTTAAGAACCTTACAACAGGCCCCAATCAATACCACTCTTAATAAACTAACAAGTTGGGGCTGCAGCCATCGTTTCATCAAGGCCAAGAAAAACAAGAAAAATATTATATAAGTACATAAATATTAACAACTATAAATATAGTAGAAAATTCCAAGCAGAATATATATATTTTAACATAATTATTCAATTTGGGCATTAAGTCATTTAATTATTATTTAATAAACCACAGAATGTTCATTGATGCTGTTGTTTATTAGGCGTTTCGCTCCCGTTTTTTTTTTATGCTAACAATGAGATCGAAACATTGAATAAACAACAGGATCAATGAACATTTAGTAGTTTATTGAATAATAATTAAGTGACCTAATTCCCAAATTGAATAATTATGTTAAAATATAATACTCAAAGGTTGATCAAAGAAATTTTGTAAATATATATATTACTTCTCAAAGGTTTTTTATATCTTCCATAATTCTTGATACTCTTTAAAAAACTAATCTAAGCTTATTTATCAACAATGGACTGGGTTCAATAAAGCATTAATTCAAAAGTTTTTATTGAAAAACCAAATATGAAATCAACAAAACTGAAAAAGGTGTCCTTGACGAGCAAATTATGCAGCACTGATTTCAAAAATTTTTCTAGTGGTAGTTCTTGGAAGGAAGAAGGATTCAAGATTGATGAGGTTCTTTAGCAAGCTATAATATCAAATCCATCCGCAAGTACTCGTGATCTTGCCAAGGAGTGTGGAGTGTCAAAAGACACAGTGTGTCTTCATCTACACACCAAGGGAAAAAGGAGCACTTAAGAAGGTGGAGATTTACAAAAATATTTTTAAAAATCCTTACTAAAAATATTTATCTGAACAATTGTTTTTTTTATTGTTTTTTTTTATTCTTGGCGCTATGGTCCTGTCAGAACCTGGGCCTCTCTTATGATCCTTCGCCACTCTCCTCTATCTCGAGCGAGCATTCTCCATCTTCGTATTCCCATCCCATTCTGGTTTCCCCTCAAAATTGAGACCAAATCTGGCCTCGCATACATATCATGCAGTTCTTTATTAGTGCGAATTCTCCATTATCCCTGTTCGCACACTGGGCCATAGATCTTGCGGAGAACCCTTCTCTCCCATGCGAGTAGCCTTTTTTCGGATGCTTTGGAGCCATATGTGACGACGGGTCTGATGACTTTCATGACACCGTTATCTTTGTTCTGTAAAAAAAGGATCTGTAATTTAATATTTTTTGCATTGGAAAACAGCACCTATTCCCAGCAGCCAGCCTTGCTTTTAATTCTTCCACCATATCATTGTTTTCTGTTATTAGAGCTCCCAAATATTTAAAATGTTCGACCACTTTTAGGGTGTGGTTAACAATTGTTACTTATGATAAAAAGTGAGTTTACTGACAAAATCACCAATGCACAATGGTTAAATTGAGATCAAACAGCATTTCCATTTTTTAAAATTATGAAGGTAAGATGAGTAATCAATCATGAATTTGTACCACACTACGCAGTCCCCAAACAAGGACACCTTCTCTGGTAGTAGTGAAACCCACCCTTACTGCCAGCCCCAGTGATGGGGGAAGCGAAGAGAACTGTATGGTTTTCTGGTACGTCCACGTCGTGCGGGGTGGATACTTCTCCTTCAGCAGGCTTAGTACTGATTGAGAAGGCTAAAACAGAAACCCTTTAAGCTGGAGGTTTCTGTGTTGAGCTATCTCCTCAACCAAAGAAAAAAAAAATTTAAAATGCTAAAAGACCTAAATTAAGGCCTTGGATAATCGGACTGTCTAATGGGTAGCGATACAGAGAACGGAAACGGAAAACCAAATTTGGATGATGGAATATTCAAGGCTTATCTACCAAGATAAATATTTTACCAGATGAAATTCTGAAATACAGACTGGAAATAGTGGTACTTTTTGAAAAAAACAAACAAAAACATTATAGCAAATATTGAAAAGAAAAGGTTATGCTGGTTTGGATATGTGAAAAAAATGATGCCTGAAAGATTGCCAAAGATATGTATGGAGCTGGAAGTAGAAGGGAGAAGGAAAAAGGGAAGAATAAGAGTAAAATGGAAAGACGCGGTGGAAAAAAGCCTGGGGTGTCGTGGCCTCATAGAAGGAGAAGCATTGGATAGAGAAGAAAGGAAAGATATCTTGAAGAATATTTAGGTCAAGGACAACCACAGTAGTGGAAAAGCCTTTAAAAAAAAATGAATTTATTCCCGATGGAAGCATAATAAACTCTGACCTCTATTAAGAACAGTTAGATAGAATGTACTGGAAGCTGTCACAGCATTATTCAGCTTTGTTGAACTGCAAAGGAATTCTGTTTCAGTAAGACAATGTTCAGTCGTATACTTCCAAGAAAAATTTTAAAATCTTGTTAGTAACAAACTTCTTCCATACCCACCATACAGTCCAGATGTACTCCATCAATTTTTATTTGTTTTTAACCATGGTCTCCTTCTTGGAAGGAAAAAAAAATTAAAACATTTCACCAAGTCGAAACCGCGATTCCGGAATTTCTCGAAACTCATTCAAAAGATAGGTACATACGTGGGATCAAACAAGAAGTTGAAAAATGGTAAACAGTAGTGCATCACAAGGGATTATATTTTGAATATTAATCTTATGTTATATTAAAGAAAAATGGTCATTTTTCCCATGGCCTATTAAATATTTTGATAAATGTACAACAAAATTTATTTTTTTATAATATAAAAAAAATACAACCTACCATTAGTAAAGTGATGAAAGGAGCTATCTTAGAGGTATATTTTGAAGTGAGGGAATGTAAAAGATTCAGGGCTGGCTTAGCGTTTCCCTTGGCCACCGTAATGTTGGAGATAAGTTCCAAAATAATTCTTTTCCTCCATTGTAATGAGTCCAACTTTTCAAAACACTGACTGATAAAATAAATAATTAAAGTATTAATAATATAAATGATCGAGTCAAATAATCGTACTGAGAATAAATTACTAAGACATTGCAATATGCAGTAGACTCCCACTTAACGGGTTCATCAGATTAACCAACAGTAGTGGTGGTAAAAAAAAAAAAAATTTAACATTCTTAAAAGCACTTATAACTTTGTGAGATCAACCACTGGTTAAAAATTTAATTTTTGTTGTGATGCGATTAGATAGATATTAAATAAATTGAAATATAGACAAAAAAGGTTTTATTATTTTTTTACAATTGACTGAACCTCAATAAAAACAAATCTGTTCGAAGTAAAATTGATTCTTGAAATAAATTTCTTATCCTTCATTTATTTCATAAAAAAGAAATGAAGAAGAAATAATGCAACTGCATATATTACCGACAAAATTGGTAACAGAGTTCGATACTCTTTTTTTGAAAAAGTGAAGAGACTATGTTGCTGAAAGAAATTTTCCATCAATAGAAATTTTGTAAATCATTAAATTAAATTGGCCAAAAAATATTATCTTCTTAAATTAGCATAAATATAACATTTATTGATTAAGTTGTGTGTTGTATTTTGATTTTTCCGCAATATAGAAGTTAAAAAAATATTGGAATTTTTTAATTTTATACCCTCTGTATTAACCGGCTCTCCCGCCAACCGGGGATGTCTCGGTCCCGACAAGCGGAAGTCTATTGTAATATCTATATGAAGGTAGCATAGAGAAAATTTAAAAAAACTAACAGTTCATTTTAAGTTAAAAATACTTTTAAAACAGACATTTACTTACCCATGATAGTAATCAGGATTTTTTTAAAAGATAAATTATCTAAAATTAATGTCTACAATAAATTATTTAGTGAGAAGCGGGAAGCCAAGTGAGTAAGGCACTATGTAGATATATTTTTTCTCTTCACTATCTCACCTTTTCAGCGATACAATATTTTTCCCGGACCTTTTGTTCTCAATTTTGTGATCAAATTATCTTACGATTCAATTGGAAAGCAAATAGGTGTTCATGAGTATTTAGTAGATAATGATTAAATAGATAAATTTTGCTGATCCCAAGATTGAAAACACCCCAATTCAATTTTCATAAATAAAAAAGTCGTAGGTTATGATGAGATGAAGCTATTCATAAAGTTTTAGGAGGATACAAATAATTTGATAAAAAGGGGTCTGTACCACGGATTATTACATTTCATAACTATAAATGTACTATAATTTAAAAAGAGTACGTATTGTGATTGTTTAAGTATTTAGCCCAGATCAATTGCAGAAAAAAATATAAAAATAAAATTAATTTTCTATTTTAGGGGACTCATATCAAAGCACAGCCAGATATGAACCCGAGACCCAGAGCATAGGATCACAGTCCACAGTCTTACTCACTGAGCTACCCCACCCTAAGCAAAAACAGACAGTCAATGCTCCCTAATTATATGATATCACTATTTGATGTTATTTTTTTTATAATGATCTCCTAATCTTCTTGTTATAGAGATTTTGCGATATATAAAAGTTCGATTCATAGATGTTCGACTATATACACAAACAACAAATATATAAATGCATACATACCTAAAGAAATATGCACTGAAACTAGAAACAGTCAAATCGGGTGATAAAAGTAAAGTTGATAGCAACTTCAATAGGTCATCATAGTGCTCTCTTACAACCTAAAAATAATTTATTTATTTATTTTTTAAATCAAAAAACAAATGTACACGTTTTAAAAGGTTGTACATACGACACTTGTGGCCGACAAAGTATCTTGAATTAATGACTCCTTGAAATGGCCAGATTTAATCTTGGCTCTAAACATGGTTTCTACTGTCCTCTTTCTCATTACGTCTGATTTTGATGTCGAATGTACGATTAATAGCATCAGTAAATCAATAGGCCTGAAAATAAAATAAACAAGTCATATATCATGTTATATCATGACTTTCATAGGATTCAAGATAATTTTATATTAAAAAAATAGCTAAATAACTAATTATATAAAACTAGCGCAGGAACCTCTGTCCAACATGTACAGCCTCTCTCTATGACCAACCCCCATTTTACAAATTATACAACTGTTCATTTAAATGTACAATTTGTTGCTCAAATTGTATAACTGTAAGTTCAGATTGTATTATTTTTTATCAAAATAAAATAAACGGATAGAAACCACAGTTCGGAAAATCTTTTAATTTCTTTAAAAATCTATCTTATACATTATTACCGATTTATATTATTATATAATTATAATTATTCTCATTAGTAATTTGTAACCATAATATATATTGCAACTTATTGTCAAGCTTCATATAAGCCCAACATCACTTTAAGCCTTTTATTTCTAATATTTTTATTTTAGGTTATGTTGGGGTTCCTTTTTTACTTTATAATAATTATATCACTATATAATATAAATAATATTATATATAATATAATATAATAATTAATATATTATATTTAAGGGGAAATGTCAGATACAAAAATAACTGCTGTTAATTAATAATTAAATGTGATATTTTTCTTCAAGAGGTTGCTAATAATAATTTACTAAAATGATTTTTTAGCAAAATAAAATATTACATGGTCAAATTTTTTTTCTAACAATTTCAATATATAAAATAGTATAATAATATAATATATAAGATAATATAATAGTATACTTTACAATATATATATATATATATATATATATATATATATATATATATATATATATATATATATATATATATATATATATATGCTCTCATACCTCCATCTAAAAAAGTTTTTTGGTAAATTGACTTCAATAATTTTATTAATTATGTTGTTATTTTTAGTATCTGCAAACTCTACCATTTAAAGTAATTGATTTCTTCATTATTCAGACATAGAAGCTTTTTCACTTATTTATGGTTTCGTTAACGCCATAGAATAAAAAAAAAATCTTATAAAAATCTATGAGGAACCTCTATCAGACCTTTGCCTTGAATCGCCTAACCAGAATGGTATTATAAAAAGTAAAAATGATTTTGAGTTGAGCACGACCCTCACCAAGTGCAGACAAAATTTCCAGTGTAAACATTGTTTATGTTTCTACACAAAAATATAGAGATATTTTGGAGCCAATTGATTATTTTAATGAGGTTCATTTTATTACTTATGTATTTTGTTTTTAATATTGTGAAAAGTAAATAATTCATTTATTAACATTAAACAATATTTTGCTCCCATATCTCTATATAAAAAGTTCATTTCTGAATGAAATTTCGTTAATTGACTTCTACACTTTTATTAATTATGTTGTTACAGTTATTTTTGTCATTGTTTCGATTGATTAACTAAATATATCATAAAATGGTTAATAAAGAGTTCTATAAGAATTGTAGATTAGATCAACGAAAGAAAGATGAAACACATCCCTCAGAAGGGACTGTTTCGTCACTTAGAGGAAGTGATATCTTTAATGTAGGTTACAATCATTTTTGTTGAACTCAAAACATTATATTTAGGAAGTTTATCTAACAGGAACCAAAACTAAACTATTCATAAATAATTTCTGAGAGTGACACTTACTTATGATGAATAGATTTCTTGACTTTACCAATATTTTTAACCCAAATGTCAGCTAGCTTTTTTGATTTCAAAACAGCATCCCTCAATTTTTCAAATACCAGTATAAGTGTACTTTGAACGTCGGAAGCTTTACCCTTTTGCACCTGAGTACAACTACCTCCATCTGCATGACAAATCACTAATTCTGAACGGAGACCATTGATTATCTGAAATCAAAATTACAAATATTAACAAAGAAATAAATAGACAACTAAAGAAATATATATGTAGAATAGAAAATAACTTTCATTCTGGGACGAGGTACCAAAATAATAACAATTATGACCAAAAAATAAAAACCACAACTGATCAAAAATTACATTAATCATAATTAAAGAATATATACAATATCTTCAGTAAAAATATATTAAAACAAATAAAGAAAAGTAAAACCATTTTGAAAAAAAAAAACAAACATTATTGAAATGAAAAGAAAAATAGAAATCAGGGAAAATAAAAAACAAAATGATTTAAGGACTTAAAATTAAAACTCAAACAATTTCAACATCCATTCACCTCAGTCAAAATTTGATTCATAATATTTATTTCATTGTACATCATTTTGGGATGTGAGAAGGAATTGGTAGAGATGATATTTGAATGAGGACAAGGAATATGCATGGCGGATATCAGATGGCAAGGAATTCCAGAAGGCAGTGGATCGGGCAATAAAGAAATATTCAAATGTCTTAGTTCTATGGGAAGAGGTATAACTGTAGGAAACACGGGATCTTGTTTTCTGGGAGTGGACCACGGGATTGAACTGTAGGAGAGTGTAGATGTTGGAAGGGTGTTGGGTGTTGATCATTTAGAATAGGAAAGATCCAACAAAATATTGTCGGCAGGAAGAAGGGAAGAGTTAATCCATAGCTGATAAAACAGAAAATACATTTTCCAGTCACAACTGTGCTTGAACCTGGACCCCTGAATTGGAAAACCAACATCCCACTCAAATGGACTCCTAATATAATTTAAAATAAATAACGGATTTGTATGAAATTTTACTTATGTAACAGTCATTAATGAGACAAAATTACAAATTAATAATTGAAGAAGGGAGATCAAAAATGAAATATGTCCATATTTGAGGTGAATGAAGTTATCGATTCAAACAGTTCCATGTTATCAAGTCCTGAATCCAAAAAAAAGTTTATAAAAAGTGCTATTTGAGTACTTTGAGCTTTAATTAAAATCCGTAGTGTCTTGATTAACTTGGTGGTATTTTGCCAGTCAAGAACTTTTAGCCAAGCGGCAATAAAACTTTCATACAATACAAATATTTTTGTACCTATTTGTTTGGGAACGGATAAACAAAACATTTTTTTTTTTTAAATACAATTCATACACATGTTTTGGAAGCGGGAATAACGGACAAGAGAATAAGGGGCTTTAACTCTATGTAACTACATTAATTAAAGTATAATAAAATTAATATGTTTCTTCCTAATTATACTATTGTTTATACAATAATGTATGTAGTTAGATAGTAACTTTACCACAATGAAAATGTTATTTTGAATAAAAAAAATTAAAACCTACTGCAAAACAAATCTTAATTCAGTTTATGACATACTGATCATGGGGTTAGAGACTTCTGTTCTTAACTATAAATCTAATGTGGAAATAAATTATAAAATTTAATAAATATTTACATATATATCTGTGTATATGTAATAAAATAAATTTGTTAAAATCAAAACTTAGCCCTTAAATTGCAAAATACATATCATGTAACAAAAAACAAAACTGTTCTATTTAGCAATAAAAAGGTGAAACCGTGGTATATCAATTTTCAATATCTTATTCTACAGATGTGTAAAGGAAAGATAATCGGGATTTACAGTTTTTGTACGGAAATGGAAGTTATATGTTGTATCTAGTTTCTTATTTACCTCATCAGCATGGTTGATTATATCACCCATCGCTAAAAATCTGACACAAGCCGGTAACTGATCTAAAGGTGAATTCCTCAACTGTCGAATCAAACTCATTTGCAATTGATACAGACTATCCCCTTCAAGCCAAAGATTTGAAAGTGTGTACAAAATAGAAGGTGTTAAGGAGGGTTCACTTTTCATCAGTTCTCTGGAAGAAATAATAAACAATTAATGTATGTTTAGTACAGAAAAAAAAAACATTAACAGACGATGAGATACTAACATAAATTCGTTGGCTGTTTCTTCTCTTTGAGCATCGCTGATGATATCAGGCAAACAGTTAGTAATTTCATGCTTGAGCTGAAAAGTGAAAGTAAATGAGAAACAAAATACTTCTAGAATTTATTTTTTTAATACACTTTTTTTTGGCAGCATAATGAATCATAGAGGCCTATTGTATGCCATTTTATATTAAAATGTTAGATTAGTCGCTTCTGCAAATCTTAGAAAGCTTATAAGATTTATAAGCTCAGAGTGTTGGAGGTCAACCAATCATTCCTTACCAAACAGCTTGAGTCTGAGCCTAGCAAACCTGACAAACCGACAGATGAAGTGAAACTGAAGACCGACAGAATAATGTCATACCGAAAGGCTGTTTTGTTCTCTTTGTGACAGAATCTACACAAAGGAATTTCTTATCAGTCTGAGATTGAACATATGATAGTTTAGCTTACAGTGACCTGTACGGATCACTGTGAGCTTTTTAAGAGCTACTCTCTCTTTGAACTGAGTAGCAGCTTGCTCCTTTTAACGCACGGCCCTTCAAGGAACAGCTCGGAATGATGTACAGTACTTGTGACTTAACCGGTTGCCACGGAATCTACCTTCTAATCTCGTGTAACCTCTTCTTATTATTCGTCACTTGTGTTTTCTTCTCATTATTCAATTGTTTTCAGGTTTTATTTTTGTTAATTTTCTAATTAAAATTGATATAATAACACTTTGGCGATTGCCGTCTTCGAAATAAGAATCTGTGAAATACTTCCAGAAGTTAGAAATAATTCCAAAGATGAAATTGTGTGAAGAACATTTTTATGAGGAAAAACATTTTTATAAGCTTCTTTTTTCTGAGAAGTTGTATGATATTCTTTGCTATTTGGCAATGATTACTTCCAATTAACAACAATTGAATTTATTTGTTGTATTATCAAAATTGCATGTTTATAAGTTTACGTTTTGGTATATACAGTTGTAAATTCCATTGAAATAATAAAAAAAACAAAAAAAAAACGTTTTGGTATATTTACTCCCATCTTCAGAACCACAATCCTAATGATGTTGTGGATACATGGCTAAAAATTTGTTTGAGTTAAAATATAGTGCGTTACAATACATGTCAGAATTGGGTTGTTAAAATAAATTTGTAATTACTTTAAATCTAATATGCTCCATCGTCAGTTTCTATTTCATGTTATAATCTAGGTATATAACATCTAGAGCAACATCTTGCTTTTAGACTAATTATTGGGTGTCTGCCATAGTGAATACAGTTGAACTTTGGATATGACTTTTTATTTATATACTATTGTTATTAATGTTTATTTTTTATGTATCTGCTATTTCATTTTTATTAAATTTTAATTTTGTTTAATATGTCCGCATAATGTGTTCCTAAATGTTTAGAGTATGTTCTAAAGTTTACTGTTGTTTGAGATGTGTATGGCTTCAAGTAATTTCCTATTGGTGTTTTTTGATTCTGTGCCTAATATCTGTGGTTTATTGAAGTTAAATTTATGCTGTGATGTGCTAAAGCTGTTGTATTTATATTTTTTGTATTTTTACAGTTAGTAATATGTTGTGAAATTCTGGTCCCTAATTGCTTGGATGTTTCACCAATGTAGATTTTCGGGCAGTTTTGACAATTTAATTTATATATTACATTTTTCTTGTTTATTAAGTCTATTTTATCCTTTGTATTGGTGATGTGCCTACTCAGTTTTTTATTATTATATTGCCCAAGTTTAATTTCTGTTATGTCATAATTTTTGAACACGTCTTTAATTTTGTTAGTAAGTTCGGGTATGTATGTCATTTTGTAGTAGTAGTTAAAGTCCATTTATAAGAAAAGGAACACGGTTAGAGGTGTCAAGAATTACCTTTTTAATGGCTTTAAAGTTTATTTATGGCAGGTCTCATAATTTAACAACAATTGAGAGGAGCAAAGAGCAGCTGAAACAATCGAACAAAAGTGTGGTTGAATGGAACAGATTTTTAAGAGAGGTTTGTTCCTATAATATGTTTTATAGGTCTACTAAAAAAATTGGAGGGCCTGGAAAAATGGAGCTTTGTGGTCAAAGCGTCAACCATCAAAGCAAACTCCCCACCAAACCATCACTGAGGTAGGGTGAAGACCTTTTTCCACTCTTCTAATGACTTTCTGGACTTCTTTAGAGCTGTGTGCGTACACCCGATCATTTTGAGATTAAATTTTTGTTCAATTGTAAACATTTTCTCATCGCTAAACAAAATCTTTCGATGAAGACCATTGGTGTAAAGGCCAAGGAGCACTTTGCATCTATCTCCTCTAACTTTTTTTAGGGAAGTGGTTAGCCTTTGTTCTGTCATTCTTCAAAATGAACCCATCCTAAGGTCAGTTTTTATCATGCGAGACATTGATCTGACAGAGATTCCCATTTCCCGAGACATGATTTGTTGTTTTCAAAGGGGATTTCTTCTGATTAGAGCAACCACTGCTATCACTGCATTGGATGTTCTCACATTGTGGGGACAGCCCGGTCGAGATCTCTCACATACAGATAAAGCCTCATTATATCTATTTATAGTGAGGTACACGAACATACGGCTGATACCCAATTCAAAGTATTGAAAATCTCTGACCTACATTTTCCAAATTTGTATGAGGCGATCACAGCTATTCGGTTTTGTTTATCACCCCACTCCATGTTGACTGAGTGAAAGAAAAATACAAAATAGTTGGAATTATTATCCTGACATATAAAGAAAATAACCTAATAGAGATAAGGATTATCTAAATAATACCTAAGGATGTAAACAAAGTTCAACAGTATTTATGCCAGTCCTAGGTGTTATAACATTCCTTTTTGCCTATTTCAATTTCCATAAATATAAATGAGAAGGTAGGTATTATCAGTATCAGAATTATTAGTGTTGAAGTTATAAACAATGGAGGATAGCAGTTCGTGGCAACCGGATAACTCACACGTACCTGATGTACCTTATTGGACCAGTACTGCTTAAATTTGGCATCCTATATCATTAAATATGACACCCTGATTCTGCTTTTGGCAGTGTTTAAGCTTAATCCACAAACAGGTCCAGACATTATGTGAGTGGTATCTCAGCCTAACCTGACTAATCTATTAGACTCTTCATTGCCCAGGATACCAAAGTGATTAGGCACCCACTCAACGGTAACCTTATTATTTTCAGTAAGATTGTTCAGAATTGTACTGGAGCCTTTAACAACCCATGAATACTCATCTAAAAACACATTATTATACCTACTTATAGTAATATGTTTTCAAGTGAGTATAGACGTATGTACCCAGTTATTAAAGTTGTACAAATTATGATTTTATCTTTTAAACCTATGACCTCATGTCCTACAGTATCCTTTAATAATACCCCACTTATCCCTGTTGAACAAATCCGATACCTTGGACAAACGTCTAACTTGGAATCCTCAAACCAGACTGAAACGACAAGAAACCGCTCGATGTTTCCAACTACGCCAACACTTACTACTCTTACACTAAGCTTCCAGTTAACTCATATATAAAACTACAATATGACCTATTTGGACATATGATGTTGAGCTTTGGGACCCTACTAAGCCATCGAATTTAACTCATATCCAATCCTTACAATCCAAAATCCTTCGGAAAATCCTCAACGCTCCTTACTTTGTCACCAATAAAATAATCCATAACCACCTTAATATTCCTTGTTTCCAATTTGGCCCAATCCATATATCTATCCTTCCATAATAAACTTCAGAAACATTCGAATCCTCTCGTCTCTAACCCTGCTTCCTCTTCTATCCCTGATAACCCTCTGAGGCATCTGAAAAGAAGGTGGCCTCGAGATCTCCTATTGTAAATACATTTTTTTTTTTTGTTTTATGGTGCTACCAGTGGGTATTTCTCAACTAGTGATTTCATGTTATTATTTCTGTTATCAAATTTACTAAATGTATTTTATTTATTAATACAGTTGTAAATATCATAAATAAAAAAAATCTTTTATTGAATGGAATTAATTTGAACACTTTCCTACAATTAAATAATGAAGACTGCCTTATACCATATTTTAATAAATTAAAAAAAAAAATACTGTATTAAGTTTCCTTAGTAATGCTTCCACCAAGTATATTTAACAGAGCTTATATTTTTTTAATTGTAAAATTCCAGGAACCAAAAGAATATTGAACAAATATTATTTAAGAAGTATATGATGAAATATCTCACCATTGAGCTTGATACAGCATGAATTATATCAAACATTTTTTGCGTCAGTTTTTCTGGTTCAAGAACATTGTTCATATATCTCAAGGATTGGAGAATCATTCGAACTATAGCCATCATTTCTTCAGCTGAATTTCCGTCTCTACACAAATGAACAGCAAAAGATTTGAATAATTTTCTATCTAGATTAAATTTAGCTAAATTTTTAATGAAAATAAATACTTAAACTATAAAAATAATGGCACATACTCGTCAGCAGTAAATTCACATATTTTATCCAAAAGGAAAGATATTAGTTTACTCTGTATGGATTCGACTGATAATAATAATCGGATGAGGCTGTCTTGAGAATCAGCAAGAATATTCGAATCAGGATCGGCCTACAAATAATTAAAATTAATTAAAGTTATTAAGTTTACATTATGTTATTGTAATTAAATTGATGATTTCTGAATTTACTTTCGTTGGTGAGAGTGCTGTTTTTAAACAATCAGTGTCAGACAAAAATTCTTCAAGATTTTCAATAAATTTATTGACATCTTCTTTGTTTGATTTATCTAATAGCTTTGACATATTACGGACAAAAACTGACTGTGGTTTAGCTGTAATTAACAATTTAATTTGAGAAGATAAAATAGAAAAATTTAAGATAATACAAGTTTAAGTAATAGATTTATAAACATACTCAATAAATTGGGAGAAATGTCATCTCCGAGAACCATTCCTGCCTTTGATAAAATACTTGACAGCTGCTTGTTGGCGATAGAACTTATTTCCTGAGACAATGCCAGCTTTCTATCTTCTGTTCTTTTGTTGCTGATCTTAGCAACTTTAGCCAATGGTTCATCTTCCTGACTCAACAACATTTCTAACACTTCGTTCGTGGTTTTTTTGGGTTCAGGTGCCTTTGAACAGCTTGGCTGAGAAGATACACCAGTATTAGTTATATCAAGAAGTAAATTACTACCTTTACTCTTATGAGGACTCATATCGAACATATCTTCAGGAGAATCGGAGACATTTCTTGCATCAATGCTACTGATAACACTAGACTGACTGCTCGTAAAACTGGTCATGAGACCTCTACCATCCAACATGGTACTAGAGGCCTGTGGAGTTGAACTAACTAGTTTCTTTCTTCTTTTATACATTTTCCAAAACAAATAAAACTTTAATAATAAAAGCTAAATATAAAAATAGAATGACAAGTTAATACAAAACGTTAGGCTTGTAATAAATTCTCGTCATTAAATTAAAAACACATTCTAAAATAATGTACTTTATTTATAAAACAAAACTCTTCTATTTTGAGATAACCTGTTGGCTAAAAGAAATATAGTGTACATTCGAAGTTTCCCTCCATCCCAAAGAGCTTCATCCATGGACATTTGAGAGTTAATTTTAGAGATATGAAGAATATAAGTAATGAAAGGATAAATTCAAGAAACTGCCGTCACATTACATCTTTTACATTAGTTAACCAATTTAATTTTCTAAATTGAAGCTTCAGCTCTTTTCTATTTCTATAAAAGGACAAACCAGGAACGAATTTATAATTTTGAATACCATAGATATATTGTTATTTCATTGCGTGTTTGAGAAAAAATAAAAATGATATTGCAGTTAATAGCAATTTTGTTTTAAAAAATAACGAAAGAAATCCGGATAATGAAAACATTTTTGTTGAACAACACAAAAGAAACTTCTATTAAAAGATAAACATCAAAAAGATATTCAATGCTTACCGGGTGTGATTGTAGCAGCTGAAGAATGTTAAAAAGGGATTTCAAATTATTTATTTTTGAAATAAACTTATCTTTAAGCAGTGGTCATTTTAAAAAAAAGAATCACTGCAAGTGGTTTCATTATAAACTGTGATAATTTATTTATCTTTACTATTTCTATGTTATAATTTCGTAATATAGATTTTTTTCCCGGCTCTCTGGAGCAATGATTACAACAAACAGTAAAAGTCATTAAACAATTTTTTTTTCTCATTCTATCATTTGCTAATATCTAAAAGAATGCTTAGCTGCGGTAGAGGACTGAGTCATAAAGTTTTTTACATCCTTGATTCCCCAATGTGTACTCGTAAATTCAAAGGTTTTCCTCAGCTGAACGCGAGAAATCTTATTTTATTATGTACAGTGATGAAAAAAAGTATTTGCACATCATGTTTTTATGAATAAATGAGTTCAAGGAACCAAAAAACTTCGCTTTCCTCTTCAAAAATGAAAAGTACATTTGTTAAAAACTGAGAAAAACCTTTTGGAAAAAAATGACAACACTCCATAATGAAAAAAAAAATTAAAACAATAAAAGTGCTTGGAAAAAAGTATTTGCACATTATGACTCACAAGCTCTGTTTACTTTGGTATTAATCCTCCTGTGTCCATAGGTCATAGGTTTGTTTACTGATTTATCTCTAATCGTTCATTACCAGTATTCTCCAGTCTTTCAATCAGTTTCCTTTATTTCCTTTAGTCAATAGACAATTATCATGCCAAAGACAAGTGAACTGTGTGCCGCAACTCGCGAAAAAAATGTTTTACTGAGGAGTCAGCAAAAAACATATCGCCAAATTGCAGATTTCTTAGGGTTGTATTTTTCTACAGTGAGATACATCATAAAAAGGTATGAAAAACGTGGTTCAACTGAAAACAGTGAGTGTAAAGGGCGTACAAAAAGTTAACTCCCAGGCTGAAGAGGAAAATCAGAAAAGAAGCTCTTAAAAATAATCTGATAAGTTCTCGGGAGCTGGCTACCATGGTCCAATCAACGTCTGGAGTTCAGATTACTAGCAGAACAATTAGATATGCCCTGAATTCGGAAGAGCTCCATGGTAGAGTCCTAAGAAAGAAGCCATACATCAGTGAAACGAATCGCAAAAGGCGCCTTGCTTTTGCTAGGGAGTACGTACAGAACCCCTTAAGCTTTTGGGAAAATGTCATCTTTTCTGACGAAAGCAAATTTAATTTGTTTGGTTCAGATGGTTGAAGGACGATATGGCGACATCGTAATGAAGCCCTAAAGAAGCAAAATGTTTTAAAAACTGTAAAGCATGGTGGAAGACATTAATTAAAAACCTAGTGCATTCAATGCCCAGACGTCTACAAGCAATTATTGATGCAAATGCCCTATTTACAAAATATTAAAACAATTAAAATTTAAAATGAACTTGTAAATGTTGAAGTGTGCAAATCCTTTTTTCCAAGCACTTTTATTGTTTTAATTAGTTTGTTTGATTATGAAGTGTTTTTATTTTTTTGTAAAAAGGTTTTTCAGTTTTTAATAATTTTTTTTTTTTTTTTTTTTGGACTTACATATATCTATCCGCACCTGTCAATTATGATTGACAATCAGCAGATGTGCTGGCGTAGTAATGAGAGAAAAAAAAAAAAAATAATAAATAAATAAAAAAGGCTTGATAGGCATGAGGAATAGCAATACCCAGCGGTATCCCTTCCATGGCTTTTATTTATTAAAACATTATTTCAGCAGATCCCTCATCCAGACCCTTTTCAGTCGTCTTCTGGAGTTCTCGGGCATACTAGTTGTGGCCATTTCTTTTACCAGCTGGTTGGAGTGCCCGTTTAACATGTTATGAAATCGTTTGTAGTACGTTCGTATGTGTTCGTTGACTGTCGGAACGTGTAAGTCGGTGTGTAAAGTGTGGTTGTTTACGTACCATGGTACTTGAGTGATTAGTCGTAGTATCTTCGACTGAAAAGTTTGAAGTTTTTTTATGTGAGTTGGTTTTGCAATTCCGTATATTTGTAGTCCGTAAGTCCAAAGAGGTTTTAAAAGATATGTGTAAATACTTAGTTTCTGTCTTGCTTTTAATTTGGAATGTCGTCTTAACAGTGAACAATAACAGTCGTCTTAACAGTAATGAACAATTTTAGTCTTAGATTTAATGTGATTCGTTTTTTCTTCACACGTGGATCTCATGTCATTCTCCTATCGAACGTAAGGCCTAAGTATTGTACTCTGTCTATATGTGGAATCGGTACATTGTCTAAGTATACAGGAGGGCATGTTTCTGGTCTTAGAGTAAATGAGATGTGCTGTGACTTTTGATAATTTATTTGAGTTTTCCAAAGTTTACACCAATCGAGTATAATCTGTAAGTGATGTTGTAAGTTAAGTGATGCTTCTGTAGGATTGTCGTGCCTGGTAATGATAGCGGTGTCGTCTGCGTAGGTTGCTGTAAGAGTGTGGATACTTTGAGGAATGTCGTGTGTGTATGTGATGTACAGTAGTGGGATTGATCCCTGAGGTACGCCAGCTAAAACTGGTAGAATTGAGGATAGACCTTGACCATGTCGAACGGAGAAAAATCTATCTGAGAGAAAGGAATGCAGAATTAAGTAGTAAGTATGTGGAAGTATGGTGTTAAGCTTGAAGAGAAGCCCCTGATGCCATACTTTGTCAAACGCTTGGGCGACATCCAGAAATACTCCGGTTGCATATAGTTTTCGCTCTAGTGCAGTCGATATGTAGTCAGTTACCCTGTGTAATTGTTGTGTTGTTGAATGTAATTTTCGAAACCCGAATTGATGGTCAGGAATAATCTGTCTGTCTGTTAGTATATGTAATAGTCGTGGGTACAATAGTTTTTCGAATAACTTAGAACATACTGGAAGTAAACTAATAGGTCGATATGAAGAAGGATTGTTAGTGTCTTTGTTTGGCTTTTTAATCATGGTTATGTGTGAGTATTTCCATTGTATAGGAGATTTGGTGGTCCTGAAAATGCAATTGAAGATTGTGGTAAGAAACACCAGAGCATTCCTTGGCATTTGCTGGAGCGCCTCAGTAGTTATCAAGTCATGACCAGGGGTTTGTACTTTTGGGCAATTGTCTAATTTCTTGTGCAACTTCTGATGGTGTGAAAGGAGGTGGTGGTAGTGTGAGCTGTAACGGTATGTCTAAGTTATTATGTACAAAAATATCGTGTTCTGTATTAATTAAGTCTGTATGTGGTTTGAAAACAGTGGAAAGGTGGTTAGCAAAGAGTTCAGATCTTTTCTCGTCCGAAACAGCCCAAGAACCATCCTCTCTTCGTAGGGGTGCTGACACCTCACGATGCTTTAAAAGATTCCTTGTATGTCTCCATAAACTTCCATCGTCCGTCGAAAGGTTGTTAATAAAATTATCGTAGTTTGTGCTTTTGAATATGTCTTTTGAGTTCGTTGTTCAATCTGTTAAAAGTTTGTCTGTCTGAAGGAAGTCTATTAGTCTGCCATACTTTACGTGCTTTTCTCTTTGCTCTGATCAAGTCCCTTATGTACATAGGATAATGGGGCAAGTTCGCTATTTTTTGTGGCCTGGATGTTGATGAGGCCCATGCTGCATCTTGTATGCTTTTTGTGAATTTTCCAACAGCTTTTTCTAATTCCTCATGATTTTTAATTGAACCTGGAACAGAAAGATTGGTGTTCAAATGGTCTCTATATGCGTCCCAGTCCATGCAGCCTTTTATGAGCCTAGGTCTTTTTTGTGCTTCGGAAGGCGCGTCGAATAGAACCATTTGCACTGAGGAGTGATCAGAACAAAGATCAGAGCTTGTATTGACGGCAAATGGTACGATTCTTAGTCCTTTTGTAATAAAGAAATCAAGTAAGTCAGGAGTTTTGCGTCTGGAGGTTGGCCAATAAGTTGGTGAATTTGGAGTTACAGTGTCTAATGAAAGTCCATGGAGAACAGACCAGAGATTTCTGCCTCTTGGAGTACACAACCTTGAGCCCCAGCCTTGATGCTTAGCATTATAGTCTCCACCTGCGATGAAGCATCTTCCGAGGCGTTTGAAGAACTCAGAAAACATCGTGGGTGTAAGCTAGTACCTAGGGGGACAGTAAACTGAGGCAAATGTTATAGTGTAGTGTTTAGTGTATAGTGTTATTCCTGTCTATTGGATGTCGGGTGTAATGGGTAAGCCTACGGGATTGTGTTTCAGTGATTTTTTAACGAGTATAGCCGTTCCTCCATGTGCGGTTTTATCTGGGTGATCAGTTCTATAAATTGTGTAATCCTGAATGTAAATTTTTGATCGAGATGTCAGGTGTGTTTCTGTAATGAGTGCTACGTCGATCCGTTTTTCGTGCAAGTATAAGTCGAGTTCAGTACTGTGCTGTTTCAGTCCGTTGGCATTCCATAGAAGAACTGACAAG